CCATCTGGAATAACACCCCTTAGCAGTGGGAGCAGGTATTTGTCCTTTGCCCCCTGCACTGTTGAACTTAGTGTTTCCAGGCTCTCAGCTCTGGCACACAGTAGGCACTGGATTGGTTTTACCTCTTTTCCCAGAACTGCTGGGGCCCTTATGAAATGCAGCGTTGGCTCTGGAGCTGTGTCCTCCTTCCAAGTGGAAACTCCCAAGCAGGTCAGCTGCTTTCTGGCATGGGGTGGCTCAAGCAACTCTGGCCTGCCCTGGGGCCCCTGGGATTTGGCACAATCTCTAGAGGAGGATCTAATCTGTAAATTACAGGAGAGAGGAGGATTTAATCTCCCAGTTACAGCACGTAATTGGCTATGCAAACACTGATGAAATCCGCCCCCGTCAGGGCTGCGCACAAACACGGCGGCCAAGGTGTGAGGCGAGGCCCAGGCTGTGGTGGCTGACTGCAGAGGACTTCCAGGCTCCGCAGAGAACTTCCAGGCTCCGTCTGACCCCATCCCTGCTGCAGCTGGGCTGGGCTGCACTGGGGAAATCCCTGCAGCAGGAGCGATGAGCAAAACCTGCTGGCACTGAAGTTACGCCTTGAGAAACGCTGCGGGGAGAGGGTGAGTGCTGGTGCTGAAGAAATGCATCAGGGTTCGCATTCCTGGGGTATGAGGGGTGGATTTCTGCTCTGCCCACTTCCTCCAGAGGCTCTGCTGTTCCCTGGTAAGCCCTGGGAATGTCTGCAGCATCCCTCTGCAGCTTGGAAGTGCAAGGCAACTGCTGTCCCCGGCTGGCAGCCAGAACAGCTTTCTAGAAATAAGCCCAGCAGATGGGAAATGTGGCCTGACTGCAGGAATCACATTCAGCTGCTGGGGTGGGAGGCTCTTCGGAAAAAAAAATAGATCTAAAAGGTCTCCTGTGGCCACATGAGCCTGAGAATCCATGCAAGGTGGGAAGTGTGGTGGCTGGCCTATGGCTCTGGTTAGGTGATGTTTGGGGTATTTGCAGCTGAGAGGCCTCTCAGTTTGGAGGGAGGCTGATGATCTATCAGCTCCCAGACAGCATTCCCGAAGGCACAGCCACTCTGGACTTGTATTATCTCGATATTTTCTCCCTGAGGCTGTTTTGTAGCTCTACCCTTTAAGTGGGAAGGGTTTTTGTGAAAGGGTGTTCACCACGTTCTGGCTGTTTATGGGAATCAAAGTGCAGTTTCCCCATAAGATCTTATCTTAAAAGAAGAATGAAAAGCAAAACTGAAAGCAGAGCCCAGTGGGAGAGGAGGGCATGTGGTGCCCATGTGCCCCAGCTCCCACAGTGGCTCTGGCATGGTTGTGCCTGGCCCGGGAGCAGAAACCTCTGGCAAAAACCTCTACCCAGCAGCACCAGCCCCGCTAAACAGGTGAGAACAGGGAAAAAGTAGAATTCCTGGGGTGTCCCTGCATGGGCCAAATTGCCCACTGAATGGTTTGGAGGCTTTTGCTGTTTAAATCACCCCTTGCACATAGGGTGTACTGCTTTTAGTGAGTCCATCTCCTGCTGCCCCATTCACTGAAGAGTTAAACCCTGATTTAGGCTTTTTCTGAGAAAATGGTGAAAGAATTCCCACCCTGGATTTCAGACAAGTGTCCCCAAGAGCTGTGCCACTTCCTCTCCCCTTCCTGCACCAGCCATGGCTAAGATAGGGTTAAAGCCAAAAGGGCAAGGAGTCCCAGTGGCCCCAGTGCAGGTAAAGGCCCTGCCCCAAATAAGTATTTTTAAAGGTAAATCTTCTGTTCAAGAGAAGTGGATGAGCAGCAAAGCCTGCTTGCAGAACAATAAAAAAAAAAATCCCCTTTTGCAGGACTTGGAAAATGATTGGAGGAAAGGTTCCAATGAGCAGCACAGATAAGAAATGTAGGTGAAATGGTGCTTACCACATCTGCACAGCATGCCTGACCTTTGTATTCACTGTGGCCACTAAATTTTCCTGACTGACACAATTCTATTAGTATTTATAGCATGATAATAGGAAATAATTATTTTACCCAATCTCACACACACAAAAAAAAACAAAAAAACAAACAAAAAAAAAAAAAAAACCCAAACAAAAAAACGAAAAAAAGCCCTTTTTTTTTTTTTTCACAGCATTTTCTGTGCTTCATGCAGGACTGTCCTCCTGCCCGGCCAGAATACACACGCAATGGGGCCAGGGCACACCAGTCTGCAGCTCTCATCTGCAAACACTGGCACTGCAAGGTTTCTTCCCCAGAGTTCACACCCTGACTACAAGTCCTCTTTATCCCATGTATTTGCTATCACAGCAGTATTTGGTTTTTACTTCTCCTTTTATGGGAACAAAAATATAATTGTTTGTCCATTTTCTCAATTTCCTTTCCTAACATTCAAATGGTATCACTTTGCTGCAATTAGATGGAATGGGTCTCTTCAATTTGCTGCTCCATTCCCTGATCTAGGTGAATTTTTCTCAGATGGGATCATGTGAGTGAACTGGGAACAGATTCATCTTGTAGGGTTAGGATCTGGGGGTGTTTCTTAGGGTGAGAGAGTGCACCTTGCAGGTCACTGCCTCTCCAGCCACCCTGAGAACACCTTGTCAAAGCCAAGCCACAGGTGGGCTGGCTTAGGGGGCATCTGTTTATCAGCAGGGCATTTGGAGATATGAAATCTATCACAATATTTGAAAAGCTCAATAAAGGAACAGATGGCTTGATAGGAGATGATCTGACTAATGAAATGAGGGTTAACACTTCAACTGAGAAACAGTTTTAACTGGTTCTTAACAGTTTTAATTATATTTATACAAGCCTCAGCCAAGGGGTGTGGAGCAGCTGCACTGGCTGCTGCTGAATGGTCCCCAGGCCCATTTCCCCACTGCTCCTCTTTCTGGGTGGGCAATCTTTCCTGCCAGGCCTCACTCCACCTTTGGAGCAGAAAGGAGCAGGACAGGAGGAAAAGGTGGCAAATATAGTTTCAGAAGACATGTATCTCCCAGAAATGAAAGCAAACTCACGGCAATTCCCTTTTCCATCTTCCTCATCTTTGTGTATCTTTTCCTCCCAAAAAAACCCAGGCTAACCACAGCCAGTCTTCAATGGTAATTTCACCCTGGGAAGGACAGCAACTAGAGGGGCATGAGGTCGCTTTGCTTTGCAGGATGAGGGTTGTGGGAGCGGGGCTGCACCTCCAATGGTGTCCCATGAAGAAATCATTGTAGGAAATGCCTCCAAGGACCCACATAACATCACCCCTTATGGCTGATGCCTCCCTGCATCTCTTTTGCTTCCTGCACTGGGTGGGCTCCAACACATGCTTGCCGTCCCCAGGCTGTGCCCTTTTTTCAAGCTGTGATTTTTTAAAGTTGTGATAGGTTTTTGGTGGGCCTGTCAGCATCATGCGTTTTCCAGCACTCAGAGGGACACCATCTGCTCAAAAAGGAGCTGTGAACAAAATGTCTCAGACATTCAGAGTTTACCAAAAATGCAATTGCCTTAAAATCCCATATGGTGCATTGTTTCCCTTCCAGCACTGGCTGACAGCAGAGGTGAAGTGACTAAAGCAGTTTCTGATTAGTTGCTGCATTTTCCTTTCTGGCCAAAATCGCTGGGGCACTTTGGCCAGAGCACTGTCACATCTCACCTGTTTGACAGAAGGTTTTCTTCAGCCTCAGCTGCTGAAGGGTACTGGGATTCAAAGACCTCCCCTCAATTACTTTTAAACTGAACTTCCTCGACTCTCGCTGTCACAAGAAGCCTTGCAGGGAGGGATGTGGTTAATGCTGATACTTCAAGCATATTTTTTTTCAGGCACCAGATTTTGGGGCCTCTCTTGGTGACACGAAGGAAGCCATGCCTGGAAGTCATTTGTGGCTCCTAAGCGTGGCAGTGCCATGGGGCAGTGTCAGGTGCATACAGAGAGGAAACCTGGCCAAGATCTCTGGATTTTGTGAGGTTGCAAAAAAAGCAAATGCTGCAAGGAAACATTTATCAGTCTAGGAAAACACAAGATTTGAAATACCAAAGCAGGAGGAATGTTGTTTCAGCTCTAAAAATAGCCCCCCGGCCTTTAAAACACCGAGAAGCATACACAGTGCATGCCTTTCTGTGGGAGCATCTGTCCTCTCCCTTGATGATGCAGCCACTTTAGTAAGGGCTCAGGGGACCTGCTGGTGCAGTGCTTGCTCTGAGGATCAGCACTCTGAGGGGTTTTCAATCCCTGGGGATCGGAGACATAAAATCTCTTCAGAATGTTGCACGAGGGCCAAAGCTGCAGGGCGAAGGAGTGTTGCTTGCTAGAAGGGCAGCCTACGGAATACTGATAAACTGTGGATGTAGAACAAGCTCAGTTCTGGGGGCTGACATGGATTTAGGCATCTGTCTGTTTTGTGTTGGTTCATAAGTGATGGCACCAGGACAAAATTTTGACTAAGTGCTACCTAATTTAGATTTTCGGAAAACAAACAAGACAGCCACTGAATAACATCAGTCATCCTGACAGAGAGAGATGGCAGGAAGAGGAAAAAGAAGTGGTAGCATTCATGTTGACTTAATCCCATGAAGATCAAACAGCAAAGCGACCCCTTCATCCCAGGAAACTGTCCCAAATGGTTATCACCGAGCTGTTTTGTTGGGAACGTTTCTTCTCAAAATTCCAACCACAGAGATACTTTACACAAAAGTATCACAAAGCCCACCACTCAGTAGGAAAGGGAAAAGGGGTCAAAGAGGCTCTTTTTGGGGTCTCTTGCTCCCTTAAGGCCTTTCCAAGCAGCCATCCAGACGGGCAGCACTCCCCGCGGGGTTTGTGAGGCGAGCCCTCCCCGCGCCTCGGGGCTCGGAGCAGAGGGCGCACCGGGAGCCGCAGGCTGGGTAGCTGCTCCCGGCTCTGGAAGGGCGGGCAGGGAAGAAGGCGGAGCAGGGACCCTTTGACAGGGCCGCACCGGGGGCAGCCCGCGGGCAGCGGCTGCACACGGAGCGCGGTGCCCGAGGGACGCCCTGGCGGGCCGGGGCAGCTGCGGCCGCGTCGCAGCACCGCAAGCCCGGCGGTCAGAGCGACACACGGCGCCCCAGAGCCCCCGGCGGCCGCGGGCCCGCCCGTCCGGGGCGGGGCTCGGCGGGGCGGGAGCTCGGACCCAGCCCGGCCGCGCTCGCCGGAGCCGGAGCCGTCCGCAGGTGCGCAGGTAGGAGCCGCTCCCGGCAGCGCCGGGCATCCGCTGCTGTCTCGCTGTCGGCCCGCCCTGTCGCGGATCGTCGCCGCCGCCCCGGACGCGGTCCGGGTGCCCGCGGAGCCCCCGAGGTGCGAGTGGGGCAGGGCTGGGGCGGGGGCGCCGCAGGGGCTGCGGCGGGAGCCGGGAACGCCGCGCTGCCGGGCCTGGGGCACGGCGGGGAGGCACGGGCTGGATAAGGGGATTACAGCCGCTTCACCCAGGGCCCGCAGGACCCAGCTGGGGAACAGCTCTCCCGGGTCCTGATTTCGGTGTCCCTCCCACCCGGGCATCCGTCCCTTCGGCGCTGGGGATGTGGTGGTGGCAGAACTCGGCGGGCCCTCGGCCAGGCTGCTGCAGAGGGGTCTGTGAGGGGTGGGACAGGTCCTGCCTTCCCCAGACCCTGTCAGGATGTCCTGTCAGGACATGCAGGCTGTGTCCGGTTAAATTCCCTGGAGGGAATTTAAGGTGTTGCGAAAGGCCCTTCAGCTGTGCTGTGGTGCCTCAGGGAAGGAAGGGCGAGATCCTCTCTCTGAGGGATAGAAAGATGCTGGGTGCTGATGTCCCAGGGGCGACAAGATATAAGATATAAAGATATCTTAAGATATAAAGGTCGCAGAAATTATGAGTTTACCTTTCTGCCTTTTTTATTTTTGTTTGGTTGGTTTTGGTTTTTGGGTTTTTTTTTCCTCTTCAAGCAAAGCTGCTTGTGAAAGTGACCCTAAGGGTCTGATCAACATTCACGCAGTCCTCATGCCATGGCAGTGCACACATGCACGGTTAATTAGGAATAGCAATATGGAGGAGGGCAGTGTGTGGAAGGTATATCCTGACGCTGACTGCCTGTTGTGTCTTGCTCAAGCAGGTGACAGTGCCTAAAAGAAGGGGGCTTGATTCTTGCCCACTTTCTGCCTTTGGGTAATGGGATGAAGACAGGGGACTCCTATTTGCTTGACAAATGTCTTGCTCCTGATTTCACTGCTGGACTATTTAAAGTGAAATTGTTTTCTTATGGTTTATCCATGCCCAGCTGTCAGCATTTTCTGAACCTGGGTGCTGAAAGTGCAGTTGTTTCATTTCCCCTTTTAAGATTCTTTGTGCTGCAGTGTTTGCTTTTCAGATGCAGAGCAGGGATGTGTGCCTGTAAGAACACCAATGTTTTCAATTTTTTTTTTTTCCTTGGAAGAAGTGTCATGTCTGTGGTTCTCTCTCTTCCCCCAGCCATTTCCGGGCAGCCTGAGATTGCAAGATTGCAGTTTGGCCCAACAGAGAGGCTTGAAGGTCCTAGTCCTGCAGTCTGAGCTGAAGGAATGAGCTGTGATTGCAGGTTAAGTGCGAGCAAAGAAAGGTCTGTGAGAAAAGAGGTTATTCTAGGCAATATATTGGGAAGGATACACCGGGATAGGTGGTGGCAGGTGAGGAGGCGGCTGCTGCAGTTGAAGGCTTGGACCAGGACTCACTGAGTGCACACTCCTCTGTGCCACTGATTTCCAGTGTGACGTCTCAGCGAGCAAATCACTGGCCTTGTTGTCTAAAATGGGAATAATTGTGGGCTTTTGCTGTCTCAAAAAGACTTGCAAAAGTCTCTCCTTGCCTTAGGTCCCTGCAGGTTGCAGAAGAGGTCACCTGAGGGCAGGATGAGAGTCAAATGGAACAAAAACACATTGGGAATAGGTGAAGAGAGAAGGGCTGAGTGAATGGGAGGAGGGGAAAAGACTGATGCAGCTTCAGAAACCATGAAAGGAGCTGTTAAAACAGCTATAGGTTACCTCACATGGGATTTATTGCACATTTTTAATGCTGAGCTTGCTGCTGGATGGTCCTGCCAGCCGGGGAGAGGTCTGGGCTGCCTCTCCCATGGGTAGCAACAGGAAGGGAGCAAAAGCCTGGAGGATGTGGGCTAATCTGCTGCAATGGTGGGGAGAGTGTCCAGCATCCTCCCTGCAATTTCCTGAGCTGGGGCAGGTCCAGGTACTTAGGGAGAGAACTTCTGCTCTTGATGTATTATTTCCTGCTTCCAGTGAGGAACCACTGGTATTAATAGTGGTGACTGCCTAAACCAGAAGAGCCAGTGGCCCTTCAGTTTTGGCACCACAGGACTGCCAGAGTGGGTTTTGCCTGGCCAAGACACTGAGGATGGCCACAGCTTTGTCAGAGAGAGCCTCCCCACTGTGGTCTTGGCCCAGCTGAATTCTCTTAGAGGTGGTTTAATGTGGTCTCCTACAGGAAAGTCTGTCTCTGAAAATATTGCAATAGACTTCAAAAGTAATAATCCCTCTGGGTGCAGTGTAGAGGCTGCTCACACAGGCTTGGTCCCTGTTTAACAGCTGGAAGCTGTTCCCTTCTCCCTTCTGTCCCTGTGTTTGCTTGAAGAGAATGCTGTATGGCACCTTCCTACTGAGGCTCACCCAAACACCCTACAAACTGCCATTTATGGTTGTAGCAGCTTGAGACACTGCTAAACAAAGGAAATTAATTCCTACAAATAAGAAATGCTGGCAATGAAGTGGTGAACACCACAGAAATGCCTGTCTCTGATTGCTTACCTCATACTTTGCCTCTCAGGGCAAATGAATTCCACAGGTCTCAATGGAGTCAAAAGACAATCCCTGTGCCAGAGAGGGCCACTTCAGTGGGATGACTAGAGCCAAGTCATGGGTACTGCACTTCCATTCCTTGTAGCTTGCCCTCTGGCCCGTCACCTCATTGCTGCTCCTCTGGTGGTTAATATGTGAAGAATATTACTCCACCTCTTTCGGTGGAGGAGGAGTAAGTCCTCAGGCTGAAGAGGTTGGTGAGGGAAAACTGTCCTGAGAAACAGTGTGCTCTGCCACAGTCCCTAACAGCTCACAGGCCTCAGGTGTTTTCCCCAGGATGAGTTGCATTTACCAAAGGAGAACTGGGAACAGTGTACACCTCTCCAAAAGTGTAGAGCTGCAAAGTGCAGTGAAGAAAGGAGCTTATGCATTCAAAAGGTGAACAGGAGAGTGGTGAAAGGGATAAGAGAGATGAAAGGTAAACAGGTGGGAGAAGCCCTGCTTACACGCCATGAGAAGCTCTGTAGCTTGAGTGTGTTTTCTGTTTTATGGGGAAAAACCAGTGGCAGGAACCTGGAATTTTTCTGGCCTTGCAGGGTGTGTACTCTCTCATCCATAAACTTCAGGGGAAGGAGACAATATGATCAGGAATAACGTTCTGCCAAGTCTGTTCCCCTGGGCTTCTCTGTTTTTCCTTACCTTCAAAGCTATTTCTAAGTCAACACTTGGAGTTTCACGTCCCTGTTAAGTGTTCTTTGCCACTCCCAACACTTACATTGTTTTCCTGATAATGGAACAAACCTTTTGGGCAGACTTCCTTCCCCCTTCTGCTGTAATGTGTGTCTTGGCTTTGCTTGCTGTGCACGTTGGAAATGATTGAAGACATTTGTGATTTTTGGAACTGAGGAGCAAGTAAAACACCTTGATTAGTTTGTTAACACCCTGTCAAGACCTCTGTACGTTATGGGAGGAGAAACACTCAATCTGCTTGTTGCTGCTTCGTTAGATTGTGGTCATTAGATGGGGGTGGTTGAAGCGGAGGGCAATCAGCCTGTCTGCCCAGTGACTCTGACTTCCTGGGCTTTGCCACAACACCAGCCTGCATTTCTGTATTGCTTGCAGAGCAAGGAGATGGTTTCAGAGACTCTTTCCTCACAGCACAGCTGAAGCAAGGAGAGGGGGGGCTTTTGTTTTTTTTTTTTTTTTTTTTTTTTTTTTTTTTTTTGAGGAGATAGATAGTCCTCCTCATTTTCCAGCAACTCTTTAGTTTGGGGGTTGGCTGGGACTTTGAGGTAAGTGCCTTTCTCACAAGCATCCCAAACCAAAGGATTCTCAAGGGGAAGATATGCCCCTGTGGTTGTGGTGGTGGTGGTGGTGTGAGACTGTGGGTTTCGGCTGTGTTGAGATTCTGCTAGAGATTTCCCTTGTGTCTCAGAGGTCTGGTGACAGTGGCTTCAGTCTTGAGTATCTCTGTGTTAGGGAAACTTTCCTGTCTGACCACCCAGAAGCCACTCTGTCAGTCTCACTCCCACCACCCTAGGCTGTCACTGCTGGGACCAAAGCCCTTTCACAGTGGATGATTCCATTAAGCTGATGTGTACCTTGCTTGATTCCCCACACACCCCACATTTGCACAGTCAGACAGTTTTCCTCACTGGCTGGATCTCAGGATTCCCATAGCAGAGTCCAAGAAGCCTGGACCCTTTAAGTAATTTAATCATGGAGCAGTAACTCCATAACAGCTTGAATTGATGCCTTCAGGGGGACTCCCTGCACTAAGGAATCCCTGGCCTTTTATACCCTCACAGTCTGTGTGCCTGTTCCAATGGTGATATTTGGTCTGGGGCCTTCTGGCTCTTTATTTGGATTCTACAGAGTCTCTGGGTGACCAGCCACCCTTGTGCCACAGGTCTCTGTGCCCTTTGCTAGGCACAGGGTAGATGCCAGGTCATGGCCCTTTGCATGTGGCTCCAGCCACCACAACCTGCAGCTCCCACTGCGGTTGCTCACCAAGCTGCTACTTGTTTTCCTCAACATCTGCACTTGGAGAGAGTAAGGCGTCTGCCCTGGGAGGTGGGAAGTCCAGCATACTCTGGGAGGGCTCACTAGGAGCTGGTTGCCGCCTGGCTTGTGCAGCCCCTGGGGTCAGGAGGAGCTGGGATGGCTGTATCCTGCAGTGAGTGTTCCCTGGCACAATGGGATCCCTGGGGCAGAGAAACACACAGCACCTGCAGAGTGCAGCTCTCCTCAGCTCACCCTGGCTGCTCCTGCCTGGTTTCACTGCCTGCTGCCCCAGGTCCTTCTGTCGGAGCTGGATGTTACCTTCTGCCTTACCCAGCTCCTCTCTGCCTCCTCTGCCTGTTTGCAGGCTGAGGGCCACGACTGCCCAAGCCCTGCTCATGGTATGAGTGGGACCTCATGGAAGTCAGTGTGATCTGGCATAGTCCATGGGTCAAAGCCTGCAGAACACCCCTTTAGTCCCATAGTGGCAAATCAGATTAATTGTTCTTTTCTAACATGCAGGAGCGTGGTCTGGAACCGGAGTGTGCCTGGTTCGTGCAGCGCCAAATGCGAGACAGGCAGACACAGCCCACAGGAGTTGAGAGTCAGTGTCTCTGGTTGTAAAACAGCAGCTCAGCACTGGTTGCTAAATGGCCTGTAAGTACTTACACCCATGTGGGACTGAGGGTGAAGGTTGTGGGGCAGAAAGAAGCAGGAAACCAAGGGCACTTTTTGCAGTATGGTGGGATGCACTGGCCTCAGGGCCTAGCAGTGCTGCAGGAATATCTCTGGGTCAGACACTATGGATATCAATATGTCCTTTACTGGCCCTGTTTTTTGGTGATTAGAAGGTTTCATTCCTTTATTGCACTTGGCCCATCTCTGGTAGGTTTATGTTGGCCAGAGCATTTCATTAGCACACTGAATGCAGTCACAGTGTATGAAATGAGACAAGAAACATGTACTGATGTTGCCATGGGTGAAAACATTGCCTCTCAACATTGTTGCAGGATTACTGAAGCATCTCTCCTGCTTCCCCCACGCACAACCCAGAGATGTCTTTACCTTTTCCCATTCCTCTTGTATAAATGAAATGAAAATGGCATTTCTGCACATCTGTGAGATGGTAGGTGGGTACCTGGAGCAAGCAGGGCATCCTACCCTGCTGACAGAGGGGATCACTTCTTTTCTTGTTACCCCACCATTTTGTTACGTATTTACAAGCCTCTGTCACATCTTATCTCTCTCATTGTGCACTCACACTGGAAACCTTGAGATAAACCTGAAAATGCCCTGCTTTGTTATGTTGGCATTTGTGACTTGTGGGTGGCAGGTTATATAATGTGCTGGTTTGTATCCACTCAGTTACAGTGATTAGCTATCAAGTGACTGGGGTTATTTTTTGCTTTTAAAAGCAACAGAGATCTATAGTGGGCTCCCCCAAAAGACAGAATGTGTTTGTTCCCCTTTGATTGTTGCTGACTGGCAGCAATTCTTTATGACTTGCTCTATGTTTTGAACAGTGTCCTCCTTCTCGCAGTGCTCCTGCCTTTGTACCTATTCTCTGAAATAACCCAATGGCCCAGTGCTGTGAAATGCAGGAGTGTTGCTCTGGCTTATTATGCATTTCAAATGCATCTGCATGCTTTAGTCTTAAAAAAGATGTGTGACTCCCTTAATGTGGTAATTTCATCCTTCCTTACATTCATGTTCTCTGGTGAAAGCAACTTCAGGAGGAGCCTGTAACTTTGCTTGGCAGATGAAATTAAGATGTCCATATTAAATGAACCTTGAGCAAGCAGCAGTATATGTTTGGTGAGCTGCCTGCTGTAATTGAAGTGTGTACATTAGAGGAACGGAAGCTTAATTGGTTGAGGGTGTATAGCGGGGCAATGGTAAAAAAAGCAGAGCAAGCAGCTGACAGTCTAAGCAGATTTAGACATAAAAATGGAACTGGAGATGAGTAAGCTTGCATTGAGAGAAACTCTCAAGACACACATCGGGGCAGTGCTGATGTGAAACTCTTTTCAGGTCTGCAGCCTGACTCAGGCAGCAGGAGCACACCTCAACAGGGGTTTTGCAGTGCTGGTGTAAGAGTATGTGTCAGGAGGGACTGACACATAAAAAAAAGCTCACACGTGAGCTTTTGAGAAGATGGGCTGGATCAGCTGTGATGCTGAAAACGTTTTTGTTGGTTTTGTGAATCCATTGCACCGTGAGGGCTTTCTGTGCCTGCCTGTGCAAGCCTTAGTGATAGAAGACAAATGGCTGTGGGAAATTACCTACTGCCCCTTGGATGCAGCACGTTTATTTGGGAGAACGTGGGCTGGCAGAGATTGCTGTTGTTGCCAGCTGGAGTTGACTGCTCAGATTTGGCATCACTGGACATGGCAGCAGTGCAGAGCAGAGCTGTGGAGAGGAACTTTGGCTTTATGTCATCCCTGTGGAGCAATTAACTGGCAAAGAGTTTGTTTCTACATTTCCCATAAGGAATTTTGGTAATTTTTCCTATCACTCTTGGCACTCTACTTTGGCTAAACTGGTGTGGTGCTGCAGGAGAGGCTGCTGTTTGGGTTCCTTGTTCTCTTGTTCCTGTCTGCTTTCAGAGATGCTGGTCTTAGTGTGCACAGAGGTCTCCCAGTTTGAAGACACAAACACTGGGGACATCCCTGAAGAGGACAAGGCTGTAACCCAAAGGCAGCTGCTGACAATGACGTCTGCTGAACACTAGTGCAAGGCTAGGCAGGTTGGCACATGCTCAGGGTTTCTCCTTTGGAAGAAGTTGGGATTACATGTAATTATGTTCCTGGCACCTGAATAATACAGCAAGGAATAAATGAGGAATGTGCAGGAGCTGAGCAGTTTTTTTAAACCATCCTCTGCCCATGTGGGGATGCTGAAACATATCCAGGCATGTGTGGGCTGTGCCAATGGCCAGCTTTAAAAGGTGTTGCTGTTTTGGGACCGGGAGGAAAGGGACCCTTCTTTCCTGTTTTTGGTATTTCATCTGTCAGATGCAGGTGGCTTCCTTTTTTTTAACTGGCTGAAGTTAGGGTCTCTGAACTGTGGAGCTGCCTTCCCGTCAGGACACTGTGCTCTGCACTGGTCGTTCATGTAATATGCAATGATTTTGGATGTCATTTTCTGTTAGTGGCTGATGGAAGGGGACTCAGCGTAGCACAGTGAATTTTAAACAGAAGGCTTTTTTCCAAGGAGTTGGGTCTGTAGCCATGTTGCTCTGACTATGAGGAGGTTGGGCACTAGTCTTGGCCTTGCTCCATTTTAGAGCTCAGTACAAAACAGTGGTTATCTAGGCAGCATTCTCACATTTCCCCACTTCTGGTGTGGAGTCCATGTACCTGTGTGCTGCCTCACTGCTCTGCCTGGGGGAAGAGCCCTTGCCACCTCGCTCTCTGCACGACAGGCAATGCTGAAATAGCTTGTGAAGGCTGCTGTTTCCATGCTGGGAGGTGGAGGAGCTGCAGCAGCCCATTATGAGAACAGGTGTTATGGCTACTGTTTGCTTTTATTGTGTAAATGAAACTTCCATGCCTTTCCAAGGGTGAAGGGTAAATAGTAAGATGTGCCATCCCCTGACTGTGTTACCTTGGCTCAGTCCAGCCATCACCAGACACAAGAGGAGAGTCGAGCACAACAGTAATTACCTTGCAGGGCACACAAGGGCTGGAACAGGAGGTGGTGTTACCTGCCTGCTCCCTTCAGCCAAGGCAGGAGGGGGGATTTGGCCACAGTTATCACAGTCTCTCTGGGCACTGTGCTGCCAGAGGCTGTCAGGGACACAGTCCTGTGGCAGGTGGGGCAGCTGCCACCTGGAAGTGGTCCTTGAGATTGCTGTCACGGGTCTCCCAGTACCACAGCACCGTCCAACACCAGCTAAGGAATGCTGCTGCAGTGCTGCTGAGCAGCAGGAGGAAAAGGCAAGGGCAGCACTTCATGGAATAGCTGCAAGCACGACAGCGGGAGCTGTGCGGGTTACAGAAATGTGAGATGCTGTGTCTCCTGTGCTGGAGGAGAGGAATAGAAGTGAGATGGGAAATCTAGTCCTTCTTGCTGATAATTTCTTGTGATCTGTTCACTGTGCTAAAGATTGTATGCACGCTAGAGCTGCCTGCCTTTTAAATCAGCATACTTAGTACTTGCATAATTTCATGCTCCTTGTCTGCAGTTCTCTCTGCTCCCAGGTCAGAGAAGAGACCTTATCTGCCTGCCTTTCTGTCTTTTAAAGTTTGGAATTCAGCCTTACTCCAGGCTTTCTGTAGTCTGTACAAACAGCACCAAATCATGGCCTCGTGGCTTTGTGCAAGTGAGGTGTGACTCTGGGCACTGCCAGGGCGTTGTTTTGTACCCTTGCTAGGCCATTTGCAGGGAAAACTAGATAGCTGACCTGTAGAGGTGAGAGACTTCTACAGGGTGTGGGGAGCCTCACTCAAGCTCTTCAGCCTCTATCCCAGTGAGGCAGGGCAGGAATTGGTGCCTGGGGCCACAGCCAGCGTGTCCTTTGCAGCCTGGGGTGCCTTAGGGGAGCAGTGGGCTGCTGTGACATGGTGAGGGTGCTGACTCTCTTCTGGTCTTCACAGCAGGGAGCACACCGTGGCTCTGTGCTGCAGACCTAGGAAGGCCAGGGGAGTTGAGAGGAGGAGGATGACAATGCTGGTACTTTCTTCTCTGGGGCAAAGGGAAGGCTTTAAGGACCTGGATGAGGTAATTGAGCTGCAAATGCAAGCAGGCTCCAGTGAGAGGCTGTCATCTCTAAGTTGTCCTGGCACCCCAGGGTGCCTCACTATGCCGTGTGGGTGCTGGTGGCCCCAGGGAATGCCTGCCCTGCAGCAGGGAGGGGGCAGAGCACAGGGGCACAAGTGCTGCTGCCCTGGTGAAAGTAAAGCCGGTGCTGGAGCTGTGTGCCTGGTGTTGTTCCCCTCTCTTTGTGTCTCTTTCCTGCGCTGGTGCCTGGAGGAACATTGATGGAGGAGGACAGAGCATGAGGAAATACTTGATCCATTATCAAAGGACTCTCATGGAGACGTAGGACTGTCTGTGTCCGCAGCACAGCAGCGCTTCTGAATTCCACATATTACAGGAACAGCCCCGGCATTCCGGATGCTCGTCCAGCATGATCTTGCCTGGAGGACAAATGCCTCCTCGGGAGGCGCTGTCCGCAGCATCCTTACGCCACATGCAGGATTTCACAGTGCCTGCATGCCGAGGGCTGATGGTGGCAGCCTCATCCCGACTCCCGACAGCGCGCTGGGACCCGCACTGGAGCTTGGCTTCGCTCCAGGTGTGGCCAGGCGCTATTTTTAGCTGCTTGCTGTGGCCAGGATGGGAGCTGGTCGTGCCCTTTGTGGAGATGATGGCACACGGGCATCCCTGTCTCTCCATGCTGCAGGCTTTGCTGAGGCAGCGTGTGTGGAATTGGTAATGATCCTGGCTTGGAGGCTGCCCTGCCTTGTGCGTGTGGGAAGTAGCAGGGAATCAGAGCTGCAGGTCTTGTGGTCACCTTGCAGAAAACCCTTGAGAGAAGTGCTTTGAAAGCCACTCAAATTCTGTAGGTGTGGTTGAAAAGTCTCCCTGCTGCTGCTGGGCTCTGGTGCCTCGGTTGTTACGAACCCTGTGGAGGATGCTGCCTGCGGGCAGCAGCTTAACCCCTTGTGGCCATGAGGAGCTTGGTACCTCGGCACCTGCCGTGGGAATGCCCTTCTTGCTCTCAGAAGAGGGGGGCTGAGGAGGGTGGGTGCCTCAGCCCTCTGTTTTTACTTTGTTCTTTGTTTCTAGCAGGTATGGATGGGAAGAAATGCAGCATGTGGATGTTTTTACCTCTTGTCTTTACCCTGTTTACATCAGCTGGATTATGGATAGTGTAAGTTATCTCCTGCTGGTTATTTGGGAGGCTGCTTCTCATTAAGGAGAGTCTTTTGGGGATGCTCTGCCCTTGAGCTACTGTGGGGCTGGGAATGCACATGATAGGGGGCAGGGGCCAATCTGTGCCACTTCATGGCTTGAAGTATCACATTTTTATCCCTGAGTTTCTGTGCTCCCCAGGCCAAGCTGCTGACCTTGCTTTCTTCCTGGTATGTGCTACTGGGAGCTGCCTTAAAAGAGACAGCCAAAAAAGTAAAAATTTCCTTTAATGACATTTTCTTTGAATGACTCAGCAGAGCTCTTGGAGAAACACTTAGGCCCTGCTTTGGGGTAGAAATTCAAAATCTGCAGCATCCAGCACCACTCTGAAAACCTGCCAGCAGCTTAATGCTGACACCTCACTTTCTTCCTAATGCTTCTTACCAAAATGCTTGTAAGACATGCACTTCCCTGAGCTGGACTCTCTCCAAGCATGCAGGCAGATGACTGTAGCATGAATTTGGGAAAGAAAAATATGTGATCAGCAGCTATGCTCAGGCTGAGAAGCAGTTATGTTGTAGGGTGTGGCTTCGGCCATGGTCTACGGATGCTGTTTTTCACAGCAGGGACAGCTTAAGCCTTTTGTCTGACCTCTACTGCTTGCTGCTTTTCTCATCCCATCCCCTCTCTATTAAAACAGCTTTTGTGGATGGAGTACCATAGTAAACCTGATGAATCAAAATGACTCAAACTGAAAATGAAAACATTCCCCTGGCTGGTTGTTTTTAAAGCAGCTCAGTTCAGTGACCCTGTTTGTCTACTCAACCATGCAAACCAGATGCAACACAAAGGAAGGCACATGGACTGAGAAATAATAAAACTCCCTGCTTGGGCAGAGAGAAACACAGGATCCTCCAGCAGATCCTGCCAGTGGGCTTGAAACATTTAATGTGTTGTTTGAGTGATATTTCAAATGGAAGCTAGGATGAGGTTTTACACTGTTTCTTTTTTTCCCTTTTTCTTGACAGGTACTTTATAGCAGTGGAAGATAACAAAATTCTCCCACTAAGTGTACCAGATAGGTAAGAGCTGTTTGTGGGCTTTATATTCAATCTCCTGTCTTATTTCTTTGAAATAATGAAACAATTACAGCAAAATGGGAAAGAAAACCTTGAATCTTTATTCCTGTTCCTGTGTCTCTTAGGAAACCTGGTTCCAAAAGACCACCTTATATAAGGTAAATTAATTATTTTCTTCCAAGTACTGCTCTGGTTAATGGTTGCTATTTATGTGTCTTTGCCATCCTAGAGTTCCAATGATGCACTTTATATTTTCAAGTATTGCAGGTGATGCACCTCCTGCAAGCTGTGTGTTTAGTCAAGTCATGAACATGGCAGCATTTCTAGGTAGGAACCACAACTGGAGTTTCTTTCTTTCTGTTTGTTTTAAGAGTCACTGAAACATAAGTAATATCCTGTACATATTCTTCTTGACTGTGATGATGTGAAACCTTTTGAACTGTATGTTTCATTGCTGCTTCTTCCCATTGCAAAGAAAGAAATGTAACAGGGGAAATGCAACCTCCAGACTGCAAATGTGTCATGGGAGGCGTGATGGTAGGTGACTGTCTCGGCCTTAGTGATCATGAAATGGTGAGTTTAGAACTTCTGCTGTAATAAGAAAAATGAAATCTAGGGAATCAAAGCAGAATTGATCTCCTAAATTTCAGGAAAACAAACTTTAGGCTCTTCAGGGAGGTACTTAGCAGAATACCTCAGGAATCTGCTTTTGAGGGCTTGGGTGTCCATGAGTGCTGGTCAGTCTTTAAGAACCACCTTTTAGAAGCGCAGGAGCAGGCAACCCAGCTGTGTGGGATTGTGCTCAAAGACTGGGGCAGAAGACCAGCTTGGCTTAAGAGGAGAAAGCCATTATATGGCCTCTGGAAGAGGGGTTAGGCTTTGCAGGAAGATTGCAGAGCTGTGGTTTGTATATGCAGGCAGAAGGCAGGAAAGGCTAAAGCTCAATTTGATTTAAAACTGGCCAGAGTTGTTTCAGACAACAAAAAGAGTGTTTTTAAGTATGTCAGTGGCAAAAGGAGGTCTAAAGAAAATGTTGGACAGATACTTGTTAAAGGCTGACTAATAGGGATGAAGAACAAGAGAAGGCATTCACTGCTTTTTCTGCCTTAGTCTTTAATAAAATGCTGATAGACCTTGGGTTGTCCAGTCCTCTGGGTTGAAGGACTACTGGTGTGGGAGCAGTGACTGTCCATTTGTGAGCACTGGAATTGTCAGGGACCAGATGTGTCAGCTGAATGCTCACAAGTCCCTTGGTCCTGGATGGGATTCATCCCAGAATACTGAAGGAGGTAGTGGATGTTAGGGCAGGACTCCTCTCTATCATCTACCAAATGTCTTGGGGTTTTGGGGGGGTCCTGCTGACTGGAAGCCAGCCAGTGTTATTCCAACCTACAAGAAGGACATGAAGAAACACCCAGAGACCTACAGACCTGTTGGTCTAACCTCAGTTCCTGGAAAAATTATGGACAAGATGATATGGGACACATTTAAAGAATGATGCAATCACCAGGCACAGTCAGCACGGGCTCACAAAGGGAGAGTCCTGTTTAAGAAATTCAATATCCTTCCATGATAAGGCCACACACCTGCTGGATGAAGGGAAGGTGTTGGATGTAGCTTTTCTGAATTTTAATAAGACTTTTGACACTGTCTCTCACAGCAGCCTTCTGGAGAAGTTGTCCACCTGTGAGATCATCGGGTTCACAGTGCACTGGGTGAAGGACTGGCTGAAGGGCAGGACTCACAGGGCTGTAGAGGAGCTCCATCTGGCTCCATCCAGCCACCAGTGCTGTCCCTCAGGGCTCACTTCTAGGGCCAGTCGCGTTCAATGTTTTTATCAACAATATGGATGAATGACATGACAGCACCATTAGCAAGCTTGCTGGTGATCCCAAACTGAGAGGTGCCGTTCACTCTCCTGAGAAAACAGGTGCCTTCCAGAGGAATCTAGATAGCTGGAACACTGGGCAGTGATTAATGACATTAAATTAAGTCTAAATGCTGTATCCTGCACCTGGGATGGAGTAACCCTGGGCTCAAGTATAAATGGGAAGAAGCTGTGGAAAGGGAGGTGTGGAACTCTTCCTCCTTAGATCCAGTGACAGGACATGGGAATGGTTCAAAACTGCTCCAGGAGGAGTTTAGACTGAACATTAGGAAGCATTTCTTTACTGAGAGAGTTGTCAAACACTGGAATAGGATCCCTAGTGAGATGGTTGATGCCCCAGGCCTGTCACTGTTCAAGAAGCATCTGGACAATGCCCTTAATAACATGCTTTAACTTTTGGTCAGATCTGAATTGGTCAGGTAGCTGAATTCGATTATTGTTGTAGGCCCCTTCCAACAAAAATAATCTGTTCTGTTCTAATCTCTGCTTTGTGGATAAAGTCATTCTTTCCTCTGCTGTATTTGTGTACTTCTGAGAGCTGCTTTTAGCTTGTATCTCTGTATTGTAGAAATAGAAATTGAAAAGTTCCTGTACGTGAGCTTGAGTAGTGACGGGTGGCTGTCCCAAACAATTGTCTGGGGATAGAAAATAGAAATCCTCTTTTGGGGTGGAACAAAGTTGTCATTTTTAAGGATTTGGAGTGGATTGATTCACTAGAGTAATTGTGAGAGAGTAAATTCAACTGTCTTTTGTAGTTTGGGTAATTTTCACTTACAGTGTCCTTATTTTCCTAAACCATGTTTTTGATATTATACCAGGGATAATATATTTTCAATATTATACCAGCACTTTTGTGGAAAGTGCAGATCTAATTTGCTAATGTGAGCTATTTACAACAACATGAGCTACGTGCCATTGATTTGAGCGTGAGCATAAGAAGGTCGTTGCCAGCAAGCCAATTTCCCTGTTTAACTAAATTGGTTTTTAGTGGTCTGGCTTGAGTCACATCTGAAGGCCAGCTGATTGCCTGGCTTTCTGTGCTGTTCCATGCACCATTCACTAGGGAGGGCTAGAATACACAATGTGAGTATCTTCTGGGGTTATGCTATATCAGATGATGTATGATACATCATATCTATCATGTATCATTTACCATAGTACTTGAGGGAATTGGAATAAATGTTATTCCATTCTTCATGGAAAATTAGTGCAACATTTTGGCTTATGTTTGTGGCAACAGAACTTGTTCCAGAGGAGGAGAAAAGGCAGTGGACATTATGGCAAACCCTGCAGGAATATGTATGTGCCATTCACATGCTTTTAAATACAAGTGGGGATTGACATCCATCCTCCAGGAGAGCTCAGGACTCAAGAGTGGAGTGAAGCAATGCAAGCCCAGGTGCCACTAAGGGAATGCATGGTGAGCATGTGATGGACTATGTGCTGGGAGCTTCACAGACAAGCAGAAAGGTGTTCTTTCCCCAGAAAATTTGCAGACAAAGCAAATTTTGAAATGAGAATGAGAAAAGGAAGCCTGGAGCTTGGTGTAGCTGAATTACAAGAGAAATGCTTAATCCTGTCCCTGGTTAAGTAGGAGGGGGCCATGCAGAAGCAGAAAGCTTGCCAGCCTGCAGGTAGAAGGAGGAGGAGGGGGCTGTGAGGCAGGTGTTTGCTGCAGCAGGTTCTCCCTACTGACGCCCCTTGCCTTGTGTTTCCTTCCCAGCGCTTGTTGTGGCTGTCCTGCGCTTCATTCAGCTGAAGCCAAAGGTGCTCACCCCTTGGCTGAACATCAGCGGCCTGGTGGCTCTGTGCTTGGCCTCTTTTGGGATGACCCTGCTCGGCAACTTTCAGGTACTGCTCTGCAGGCTTGGACTGCTCTGTCTGTGATGTGATTCCCTGCTTTCCTAGCGGGTCTGCTTGGGTCTTTGAACCAGCTGTGATGAGAGCCTGGGAAAAGCACGTGCCCCATCCCTCCCTCTACCTGTTCTGCCACCTCTATTTGCCACTTGTGAGCCAAGATGAAGGGCCACAATCACTTTTCACTTGTCTCCAGCAGGGTTTGCACCTGCATGCTGAGAGCCTCAGCAGGAGCCTCCTGAATCTCTTGAGCCCTGGGAGTCGGCACAGATGCCCCTGGGTGAAAGGGCTGAGTGGGAAGTTTGGGGACACATCTGTGCAAACAGATGCACGAATTTAGCAGACAGCTCAGTGTCCTTCTTTTTAAACATATGTTGCTTTAAATCCACCTCAGACCTGCCAGGAGAGGGACACGGCAGAGGAGTGCCAGGACCTCTCCGCGTGTGATGGGTGTCTGGGTGTCTCCCATTCTCCCTCTGTCCTGCAATGCTGCAGCAACAAACATCTCCCACATCTGTAGGGATGGGTGTCCCCTGTGACCTGATTGTGTCTGTCAGGGCTGCAGTGAAAATCAAGGTGTTAGTCAGTGGGGCTTGGGTTTGACTCTGAGGCTCTGTCTCTCACTGGGGTGCACGTAATGACCCCCAATAATGGCAGGAACTGAGAAAGGTCAGCGCAGGCTGGCTGCTTCCCTGGCTTTGCATGACAGGGACCCAATACAGAAATGGTACTTGTTTTGTGAAGGGTGAGGAGAATCTCTTTGCACTGTACAGTTATTGAAGGAACTTGGTGTCCTTTACAGTTGACTTTTTTTTTTCTTTTTTGAATGAGGTGTGAGATAATTTTACTTTTATGGACTTGATCTTCCTAACTCCACAGCACAAGCCCAAAACCCAGGCTCTTGTTTTATTACAAGAGCTTTCCAGCTAGGAATTATAAGGCCTTTGTAACAGCTTTGTCTACCTCTGAGAAGAGTATTTCTAGTACAGGACAGGCACTAGGAAATGGTTTCGACCTCACCTTCCTTTTTTCAGTCTTCAGAGCAAATGATTGTAATTTAATAGTAGGTGCTTTGAATCTTGCCTGGATATAAATTCTGATTATTCTCTGATACCTGATTCTAACTATCCATTCCATGTCAGTTACCTGTATCCTTTCTTAGATCTTTTGCCAAATGTGCTGTAATAAGACCTTAATTTATGCCTCTCCCTGCCTGACTGCTGAGCTGAATGTGGCATTAAATCATATTTCTGGAAAATTATACATTCGGTGTTTTAGAGGGACATTATAGCTGTGAGTCCCTTGCAGTGCTGACTGTCTTGGGAAAGGCAGCTCAATCCTGGTTTTGCCTGAATGATTATTTGGACCTACTCTTGAAAGAAATTCAGGGTAGAGAGGAGGGGAGATATCAGTGGAGGCACAGAAACTAGATTGTTGTCCTGTAGATTGCCTTGTTTGGTGGGTATTTGTTAAATCATCAAACAAGAATTAAAGCTGCAGGGAGAAGTTACAGACTGGTGGTTTCTTTTCTAGAAAAGCCTCAGAGGCAGAGGGAAAATGGAAGTTGTTTGGCTTAAGTCCATGCTGGACTTTTTGAATGGATTTGCAGCCTCAAGGGATCTTTTTGTAGATTCTTGCTAGTTGAACCTGGCTGTCATTTTGCCTTGCAGTGTTGCACAGTCAGAGCCCTGTGGGGCAGGGCAGCCCAAGGAACAGGAAAGCACTGGCACTCTACAGAGGTTGGATTCATGTTGCCTCAGACCCCAGTGGTCAAGGATGGGCAGAAGAGGAAATTTGGAGGAACTTGCCAAACCAGGAATATGTATTTGTGTTTTGGCTTGTGCTAGCTCAGGGGAGTGCCAGGGCTCTGCTCCCTGCAGCTGGCACTGAAGGTGCACAATTTGCATCCATTGCAGGGAGCTGTACAAGACCTACAGTGGGTTGTCCTTGCCTGCCCTGGCCATCACTTCGAGCCAAGGAAGAATTTATTTCTGAGCTCTGCATTTGTGAGTCTTGTCAGGGAGCTGTGGAGACAGTCCCCAAGCAACTGCATTTTCCACAGTGCTCTTGGGCTTTGGGCAAAAGATCTGCTTGACTGTGACAGCTGTCAACTCACCTTGGTTATGTTACACCTTACACCTCTGCCAGAAGAAATGAAACAGCATCTGTCTCACAGCCCACTGTCCCCTACCCTCCTCAGCAGCAATCCAGTTAGCTCTCAGATAATTCCTGTTGTGTCCAGGCAATCACTGGTTTATTTGTTCCTAGCTTTCCAATGACGAGGAGATCCACAACGTGGGCACGTCGCTGACCTTTGGCTTTGGGACATTGGCATGCTGGATCCAGTCTGCCCTTACCCTCAAGATCAACCTGAAGAATGAGGGGCGGAAAGCTGGGATTCCACGAGTGGCTCTCTCAGCCAGCATCACCCTCTGCGTGGTGCTTTGTATCCTTTTGTCTTGCTCCCCAGGAAGCCAGGTATTGTGTACGTTCTGCAGCAGCTCTTCTCACACCTCTCTTAGGATCTCAAAGCATTTTGGAATGCTACTCAGTCTGTCTTCATGGCACAGTCCTATTTCAGTGCCACACTGTGTAGAGTGATGCTTCCCGATTTCACAGAAAGGGACAGTTTTGCAGGTGATCTAAATAGAAGGAAATATTTCACAGTGCGTGTTGAAAGGTGTTCCCATTGCCTGCGGTGGGTGCAGTGATCTGATCCAGTTCCCACTGGGAAGCTCCTGGCAGGTAGGGCCCACAGCCAGGTCCCCACTTGCTGGCTCTGTCCCTGGCTAGCTGGATGCTCAAGCAAATCACTGACTTCTCTGCACCCAAGTCTGCCCCTCTGTAAATGTTTATCACCCTGATCGGGATCAGGAAGCCCTGATCTGTATAGGAGAGCTGCTGTGCTCCATGGGCATCATTGGACACCTGACATTCCTTTCATCTCTAGCATCACATTCACACTCTCCTCGTGATGGCTGGATGGTTTGACTTATCCACGTGACTTTGTTCAGATTTTTTTCCCTGTTGGCTTTCAAACTGGTTGGTGTCTCTGCTCCCACTTGTTCTCCTTGACTTCCCTCTTCCAGATTTCATCCTTATGGCCCAGGGCATTCACATGCATGCTTCCAGGATCCAGTGGGGCCTAGTGATGTGCTTCCTGTGCTACTTTGGCACCTTTGCAGTGGAGTTCAGGCATTACAGATTTGAGATAATTTGTTCTGAGTACCAGGAAAACTTTCTGAGCTTTTCCGAAAGCTTGTCAGAAGCCTCCGAGTACCAGACAGATCAGGTGTAGCCTGTCCTCTGGCGGGGGGGAGGGGGGCAGGTGTGGTCCCATGGGGGAAACATGACCTCATTTACACTTTTTTTATGAGTTTCTTTTCATGTGCAATCATGATGGTATTGCCAAAGGGCTCTGAGGGTGGCTGTCTCACTAAGAGCCAAACAGAGGTGTCTGCTGGAAGAGGAGTGGATCCATCCCAATGGCAGTGTGAGAGCACAAGCTGCTTAGTTTGTGCCACCAGTGACTCTTTCTGCGTGGCTCTGTCATGCTCCTGTTGTTCAACACATTCAGCAGCCTATCCTGGTGACGCGCCTCTGAGGCTGGTCCTGCTCAGCCCGCCCTGCAGAGAAGGAGGTGAAGGAAGCAGACTTCTAGCAGCAAGGGTCTCCAGGAGTCACCTGTTCCCCAGTCACCAGACTGCATCTTCCGTGTGTTTCCCAGGTTGTTTTCTTTGCTGCCAGCCGGGGGAACTTGGTAGGGGGAGCAAGAGTAGCTGTTTCTTCAGAACCTGGAATCAGACACAGAAGACCCCAGTGGACTGGCTTTTATGGCAAGTAGGCAGGCATTTCTTCCAGCCTGGAAAGCGGCCGACGGTAAATCTGGGTTTGGAAAGAACTGTGCTGTGATGAGGAAGTGAGACTTAGCTGATGCTGCCTTGTGGCCAGGCAGATCATCCCCAGGCCAGAGGGGGTGACACAGTGGGATGCTGTGCTTGGCTTCCTGCTGGGCACTGGTAGGAGTGAGGTGCTGAATTAAGATGAGAAGGTCTGTGTGCTCTGAAAACAACTCAGAAAACGCTGCTTTTTCCATGTGTAGTGCTTCCACCACACATTGTGTATAGTATCTCAAAAGCTTTTTTAAATTTTTTTTTAATGTTTACTGAGGGGGCAAACGTTATGTTAGAGACACCAGGCTCGTCTGCCATGAGAGCAGTGCCAGTGCTTCTGGCCACAGGGTTTGGTTTTGCTCCTTGTGCAAGCCAAACTTCAGACATGCTGGTTTGGGCTCTGGGCCCCTCAGTGTGGCCAGTTGTCCTGAGTGGAGCCTGCCACAGGTTTAAATGGGCTTCCAAGGTGCCAGGAGGGAGTTCTGGCACAGAGGCTGGCTGATCTGCCCGAGGGCTGGAGGTGTGAGAAGGGAGCAGCAAAACCAGAGGGGCTTCTCCCTTCCTAGAGGGAGGTTTTCAAACAGGTTTTCAGAGAACAAGGAGCTCAAAACCTAATTTTGGGAAGGCTGCTGTATTTTCTGGGTAGAGGAGCGATGGGAGTTGCTTGTCCCCATGGCTCCTATTTTCCTCCATAAATCAGGCTCCGCTTAGTTTTACATCTTGTCTGAGCTTCAGGAAAACAAGCAGAAATTAAAATGGTAGGAAAAGGCACTTGAAGAGGAACTCGTACTGTTCTGTGGCATTTCTGACAGAGGGAAAAGGCAAAAGGGCATTCAGTCTTCTGCAAAGGTCACAGGCCTCTCCTGAGAGGAGAAACAGTTGAGACAAATTGTGTGTTAAGTAGAAAGCTTTCAGCCAGCCCTTTATTTCCTGTGCACCAAAACTTGTTCTCAGGCAGCTGTTACAAATCCAGAGCATTTTTGGCCAGCAGAGGGTTGTTGTTGATTGCTGAAGGCTTCCTCCTTGTAGCAGTGTCATGAGTGGAAAGCTTTCCCAGAAGGATGTGCTGAGAGTGGCCAAGGACACAGCAGTGTGAGGTGCCAGCTCCCTAGAGGCTCATCCAGGGAGCTCCTTCTGGCAAGGACAGGAGGGGACAGTCTGGAGAACATGCAGGTGGGGATCCTCTTGCACTGGCACACACTCAATCCATATGGAGCACAAAACAGCAATTTGTTGTAAGGGCGTTTCACTGTAAATAGTCCACTGTGGTTTTTTTCCCCTATTTAATAAATACTTTCAGTTTATTATTTTAGCTTTTGTAATTTTATCAAAGAAAAAAAAAAAAAAAGATTATGTGGTTTTTTTTTTCCCTTTTGCTCCTTTTCCTATATGCAATCCAAACTGAATTCCAGGTTTTTAGTGATAATTCTGTACATTTCTTAGAGTATTTCTAACAGCACATTTCAGTACAACTAAATGACAACCGATGTACACTAAAACATGACCACTAAATAAAGTGCTTTTATGGAGAAAGTGAGCTTTATTTTTGTCCCTACCCCAAGCATAGCTTTCTGATGGCAAAGGCAAAACAAAAGGTGAGTATTTATTTACAGTGTAATTAATATTATCACTTAAGGAAGCCAGGGACCATTCAGCCATGCAGATACACTTACTGTAACAGCACTAATTAGCAGGCTCTTTCTAGGAGCAGCATCACACCCACTGCACAGCCCATGAAGGCATCTGGACTAGCTGCCCCACAGTCTGACCTGCTACTATTAAATTTTTAGAAGGGCCATGCTGGCACAATGTGGTTTCCTCCCCAAGTGCTTGTCTCTTCATTGTTCTTTACCCATCAGCCTCCCTCAACAGGGACAGCTGTAGGTGTAGATCAGAGCTCAGGAAGGCAGCAAGCACCTCCTGTATTTTGGCTGGCTGTGAGGGCAAGACACCCGTGCATGAAGTGCCAGCAGCAGGGAATGGGGAAACAGGATTTCAGACAGGAGTTTCAGACTGCCTCTGACTCCACTACTACCAGGTATAACCCACCTGTGGCTCTCACTCCTGCACTGAGCCACAACTGAAATCCGAAAATGGTCAGGGAGGTAGTACAGCTTCCTCAGCAGGACAAGGCTGCTGCCTTAAAGAAGGGACTGGGGAAGGTGAAAACAGCAACACAGTGTTCAAAGTTTGGAAATAAAATAATAAAATTTGCCTTTTAGGTGCTGGGATCACTGGTGCTAAGACAGGAAGGCTAAATGCCATGATGGAGTGAACACAATGAAAGCAAAGTTGTGTTTTTATTTACTACATTAGGAAAAGCTCCATGACCTACATTGGCACAATTCAGGTAAGATGAAAAGGTCAGGGGTTTAATTCTCATCAAATGCAGCAGGATGTCTGCCCTCAGGAGCAGTTTGTCAAGGTTTTCTCACAGCTGACCACTGCTATGAATGTGTGACTGGGTGATCTTGCCTGGAGGAGGAGCTCTGTGGGTCAGTGCTGAGATACTTCAGAAATGCTGTCAAGCTGACTTTGGGGTTCAGACAGTTGCATCCCATAGCCCAGCACCATGATGCAGCCGTGAAGTGTGTCCAGAATTTAATTTTTAAAGCTGTATTTATGTATACTCGACTTCATTCTGGGTAGGCTGGCTGTGGAGCTCTAAGCAGCTTCCATATGCAAGTTGTACTGTTTTGTACCTAGAGCTGCTGCAGACACAGCCAAGATACACACTGCTCCTTGTCTAAAGAGCCTGCCTCCAGCAAGGGCTAGCTTTTTCTGTGGCAGCCCACTCCTACTGTTTTATAGCCCACAGTTGGCATTTCCCTTTGGGAATCCTAACTGTGAATGTTTTTGACTTAGCCAGAACTTCTGTCTGCAAGGATAAGCTCACATATCCCGCCATGGTTCCCAGCGCTCCCTCTGGGACAAGGGGACATAAACCTTGTTTGCAGACTGCTTCTAAAAATGACAGAGCTCTTGGTGGGGCATCTCAGCACCAGATTTCAGTGGATGAGTTTGAAGGAAGTATTCCCTTAGCTAACTGCTAGCCAGGAAAGGGGAGGAACAGCAGGGCTCATAGGTGCTGCTCACTGCTCCCTGCCCTGTTCCCAGCTCCAGCTGGCAGCAGGCCTCTGTCCTACTGCACAAGGGACCCCACACCATACTCTCCATCCATACCTGCCTGCACGAGGCCCAAGACATAATGTGGATTTGGTTTGAAATTCTGATTATGGACAAAATGACCTAACATTTCACAAGGACAATTAGGTGAAGCACAGTCTTTTGTGCGTGCACCGCTTTCCCTAAGTGGAGGAAGGCAAGAAAAGTTCGGTGAAAGACGAGATGAGGCTGTAATAGGATTTCTCATCGTCCGTCAGTCCTGCGTTGCCCGGTCTGATCACCACAGCCACGTGAGTGTCCGCCTCCTCGGCCGCATTGGCTTCTGAAACAAACAGAGTGGGGACAGTGAAGGTGACAGCTGCTTTCTGACCTCTTCACAGCAGGGGCCCTAAGGCTCGAGGGTGCCCCAAAACACGCGAGTGCTTCTAAAGGCTGAGACTGAGAAAGCAGCGTTTGCACTGGCAGGGCTCTAGAGAGGAACCAGCTCCTGGCAGACCTGCTGTGGATGGCTGTAGCTGCAGGAATGGACAGGAGCTGGCTGCCTCACCATCCCCTCCCCTCTGCCAGCTGATGGCTGTCCAAGGCTCCTTGCAGGCAGCACACACCATCAACTTCATTCCAGCTCCATCAGCTGAATTCTTGTCATAAGGCTGTGGTCAGCCTATGGCATTTGTGAGTCAAACAGCCCCCTCCCCCAGTCACTTGTCACAAGCTTCTTTTTGCTCCCTGAGCACAAAAGGCCACTGGAAGATGATCCAGGGAAAAGGAGGTAACTACAAGCTCCCACCAGCTCTGCTGCCAAGGCTGGGAAGAAGGTAAGGACTAACTCTCGGGGAGTGAGCTGGCTCAGACTGAGACCCAGTGCTATTTCTGCCAGAAAGATGTTTCCAGCTAAAACAGGAAATGAAGGTAGCTTCTCAAGCCTGGCTTTCCATGAGTCAAGTCCTGGCAACCTGAAGCAATGTTTTCCTGCTGCCAAACACAACCTAACCGTAAGTGACACAAAGTACCAGCCACGTAGCAACACAGCAAACACCATCATTTCCCCTGAGCACTGGCCAAACCACTGACCCTGTTTGTAAAGGGGCCGTGCTTCAGCTCTGCTTCAGCACTCTCTCCTTCCTGGCTGGTGCAAAGGCAGGTTTTCTACTTGACCTATTTTCCCTCATTGCAGCGCTCCACACGGACATCCCACTGCTGTGTGCAAGCCCGGGTGTGTGATGGCAGCAGCTAGAGGGAAGGTGCTGAAGCATTTCTGGGGTGCTTGTGAGAAGGCAGCAGCACACCTCCGAAGAGCACCTGCCTCCCCTGCACAGGTGAGAGCCAGTAGGACTGGCAAGTCACATACCTCGAGGGACATCGGTCAGGAAGAGGATGTTGTTGGTGGCACACCCAATACTGGCAGCAATCCTCCTGTAGCTCTCACTTTCTACCTTGGGGCCTATTTTGGTATCAAAGTGGCCATCGAAGAGCTGAAAGAAAGAGAAGCACAGGCCATTGCTGAGTGCCACCTGAAGAGCAGGGATAAACTTCCCTCCCTCCCTTTCTGCCACAGTAACAAGGGGTCGGTGCAGCCAGGTTTCACAGTCAACTGCTTGAGCTGAATTTCCATGGATCAAACACACTACCCCGCCTTCCTGTCACAGAATTCATTCACAAAGTGTTACAGCAAGGGTGGTTGTGGGAAGGGAGTGCTCTGCAGGGGGAGAAGCTGTAAGGAAGGTGGTAAGGTTATCTACCTCTAGGATATCACCTTCTGTAGAGTATCCAAACAGAAGCTTCTGGGCTTCCACGCTGCCTGAAGAGTAGATATAGACCTTCATCCCTGCTTCCCGCCACTTCCGGATGGCTGGAACAACGTCCTCGAAGATTCTGGAACAAAACAGGGCAGCAGGTAAGGGCAAACCCAGAGGCACCTGGAGGGACATCATTAGCAAGGCACTGTAACAATTTGTTTTGTCCCATTAGTTTGCAAGGGGACTTCATTTTCAGTCTGCTCAGGGCCCAGAACCAGAAGGTCTCTTCCAGCAGCAGGTGATGAAGAGCCAGGCAAGGAGATTTTAGAGATCTCACTCCTTGAATGCAGCCAAGAAGGCAGCTTTCTCCACAGTTTTTGGGTCACTGTAAGACAATTTAGCCTTGTTTCTAAAAACAAAACCAACAGGATATGTGTCTCTCTTGACTTGTTTTTGGGTTTTCTTTCTCTAGTGGATGTTTACATTTTTCTGTCAGCTCATTTTCTTCTTCCTCGTTCCTCATTTGGCAAAACACTTTGTGAATTTATAGGTTTGTTTTACTTACTTAGAGACCTGAAATGCACAGTTTAACCAAGCATCTCTTATATAAGAAGATCAACCTTAATTTCAGTTGTCCCTACTTATGCACTCCTGTGTTGTGGCTGAAACATAAAGAAGAACCTGAAGACAAAAAGAAGTGGAAAGGCAGGAAACACACAGGTAAAAGACAGAGCAGAAGGAAACAACTGAAAGGGTTTGACCCTGCAACCCTGGCTTGTTTATACTTGTTCCAAAATATGAGTGTAATTTGGGATAAAAAATGCAAGACAGAGAACTACAAGAAGTGCCTCATACTTGTGCCTTACTCTCGGTTTACCAAGAAATCTCTCAAATATTGGCTTATCTGCTGAGCTAGTGATGTTACTTGTATTTGTAAGTGAGGCTGTTCCCAGGAATAGCTTATGCAGCTCTTCTGCTAATAAACTTTCAGGAAAGATGCCCCCCACACCTGCCCCCGAGGAGGGGGCACACAACTACTCACACAATTACTCACTCTCCTTTGACGTGCCCGGTGGCATAGGCTGCCCTCCACATGTGGCCCTGCAGCTGCTTCAGTGCCGTGGTTTTCCTGTCCAGGGACATCTGCCAGTGCACGTTGTCCACAACGGCCTGGATGACGCGCTCCAGCTCCTCTTCCCCGCTGCCGCTCTCCAAAGGGATGGGCACGGCCCCATCCAGGCTGGAGTCCTCCTGAGCCTGCAAAGTGGCGTCAGAGCACGGTGTTAGCAATGCCAAGGCTGTGGGTCTGGTCCCTGCACGGGCTGTTCAGAGTTGGGCTTGCTGATCTGTGCAGGTCCCCTCCAACGCAGACTATTCTGTGATTCTGTGCAGTCATCCATGATAAAAAGAGGGGAGGGAAGAGGTGGAGCAATTTCCACACCTCTAATGTAGGAAAGTGATCTAACACCTGCATCCATGCACTCCTGTGCAGGACACTGCTTGAACTGCTCTTCACACAAGGGTTACAACATTGTCTGAATGCTTTTCTAAACAGAAAATTGAGGCAAGTTTAGAAATACTTGCTTGGATTGTGCTTTCCAAACCAAACAATTAGCGTTACTGTAGCTGTATTGTAAATACTCTAATGAGAACTATGCTTGATTAAGTACTTAATGACTGTAATTAAGGCAAAGAAGCAAATGCATGTGTTGGCCACAAGTTTCAAATTGATTCTGTGTCCCTCTACAGAGGCAGCATCCACTGCCCTGTGTGGAACAAGTGCTCTCCCGTGCCCCTGTGCTGCTTCCCAAGAGACGTTTGGATTCAACAAGAGAAGGGCACAGACCAGGCAAAAAGCTGGAAAGTCTTGGCTTAACAGCTGCCCAGGAGCTGTGAAGACCAAGGTGAGCTGAAGGAAGCTGCTGCCTGCCAAGCCCAACCCCAGGCTTTGGATAGGGGAGAATCCAACCTTCAAGGCAACTGGCTTCCATGGATGAGGGCCAAGAGATAGGGACAAATGTGGGGTGACCGGGAGAGCCTGAGTGACCTGAAGCCTCAGGCATGCCATGAAAATGCAGAGACACGGAATTTCTCTGTTACTTAACCTGCTTCCTCAGAAGTCCGACATCCCGCTGGCACTCCTCCTCCTCCCAGTGAGCACGCAGATACTCCTTCACGTTGTCTTTGATGTAAGGGAACAAGGTCTCCTGGCAGAAAAAGAGGCTGCTCCTGTAAGCTGGCAGAGGTAAGGCTGACTGGCTTTTAAAGGAACCATTCACACGTGCTGCTGTGTACAGTTATTTCCCCCAAATTTAAGCTTCCCTGAAGTGCTGCAGCTGGTGAAATTTCCTGCCAAGGGTGTCTACCTGGTCGCAGGACTGAGCCAGCCTCAGGCCAGGATCAGTGCAGGTGGATTTTTTTACACAAATGTTTACATAGCTGAAACTTGTAAAGCCTTCGATGGAAAAGTGGGTGATAACTTTTCCTGGGCTTGCCAAAAAATGTCTCAAATGGCACAAGTGACCCCACATTCCCACCAGCTGAGGAGTACAAGGCTGACAATGTATGTACTCTGAACAGATAAGTTATGCTATTGTATTCTTGATGGGCACTTGTCCTAGCAAAGGTCATTCTGAAAACACGTCTCAACCTCTCCCCAAAGCTAGAGGACCTTTTAAAATGAAAAGCCTGGTCTGGTGACACTGAACTCCCGAGGACAGTCTTGCCAATGAAATTAAACAGGGTTTGGGAAAAGCGCCACATGAAAATTACAAACCTTCACAGAGATCCCAAGGGCAATCAGAAATAATTACAAATTGCTCTCATTAGTGGTGTTCATGAGTCAGAAGCCACAAGCAGCCACCGTGCATCTCCAGGCACAGGAAAAGCCTCAGGTCAAGGAGAAGGAGAGGGAAGTCCTTCCTTTGGGTAGAGAACTGAGCTTTTCTTAACTGGGAAAAAAATAACCTGAACTCACCTCTCCTCAAAAAATGGCCCATAGGTCTGTCATCTTTAGCTTGTTACTGAATTAAGAAAGCAGCAGTCCTGAGATTGTGATGTGGTGGCAGAACTGCAGGATTTTCTATTGCTCTAATACTGTGTTTTCCATCTTGTATATTTTAAAAACAATGCAGATTGCTTTAAGAATTACCACAAACTTGCCTAAGGAAATCAAAAGCCTTGTAATGCCCCCAGTTACTCTCATTTCCTTTATTCAAACTATCTTTTAAATCCGAGGAAATTAAAGAGGAAATGCACTGGGAAATGCAGCTGACCTGCTGGCTTGGTTTAATCTCCTTTACAACTCACATGTCAAAAGGACCCAATTGTTTTTCAAAAGCAGTGCTTCATACTCTTGTGCTGGCTAAGAAAAACTCCCAAACTGACTCTGAAAGATCAGTGGATCCTGTGATTTGGGAGATTTTAAAAGGGTAAAAGTCTTGGCAAGTGCATAAGTCTGTGAACTAAGAGGGGACACCCACGTGACAGCTGGAGTAGTGGACAGCTAGTGAGACAGATGGTTTATGGATGCCAAGAGTGATCCCAGTCAATGATGTACTAAGTTTAATAGGCCATGAGTCTGTGTGGAAGAAAGACTCCAAATACTCTCTTTTCTAGTATCTTTCCTTAATCCACCCATCAACTGACTCATTCTACTTCCTTACTTTGCAGATTCAGTAATTCTAACATTAGAGAAAGGATTAAATAAAATCATCTAATATTGAAGAATAAAGTGTCCATTGAACCATCAAAGGCAAAGGACTTTTCAAAGGCAAATAGAGGTTAACTGAAAGGCCAAATGAACTAACTTGTTCCAAGCATTTTCAGGATTTCCATCAAACTGAATTTTATTGAGAATCGAAACTCATTTGGCCTCCCTGCAACAGAAAGACTTTGGGTGGAAACCCAAAGTCTCAGGTGCATGGCATGTTGTTTGCACAACTGCAAAACGGCTTTGAAGTGGACAGAAACAACTTAGTTGCTCTGTTAGATGTTTAGTAAGAAACCTGAGCTGTCCAAACTGTTTGAACGGAAAGGTATTGAGGGCAAGGGGACAGCTGTAATGCCACCTAGGCCTGAAGTTTTATCAAGAGCACTGGAAGAACATGGACAGGAAAGATGTAGGTCATGCTGTTCATCTGTTAGACTGTGTTAGCAGAAGCCTCTAGAAAGCCAGGCAGGAGCCTTCAGCTGCCATGTGGGTCACAAAGCACCTTTGTAAGCCACTGGCTGCAAAGATCCACCCAAAACTATAATGTCTCACGGAGAAATACGGGATAATGAACGGCAGGAGAAGGGACATACATGCGAGCAAGCCGCTCCCTCCTGCCAACCAAAGCCTCCCGGAGAGGAGGGACCCCGGCTGTCACAATCTGCGGCTCTCCAAGCGCCTGTGACTCGCAGGCTTCCCAGTCCCCTCGGTTCTGCACCTAAACCAGCATTTCCCGCAGTCTTAAGCTTTTTCCTAGGCAAGGGAAGGCACGCGTGCATTGGCTGTCCCTCCAGTCCCCGTGGCGAGCGCTCCGTGTGTCCCTGCGCTGCCCTCCCGCACGGCTGGACACGCTGCCCCGGCACACCGCACCGGCCTCCCGAAGGGAAAATGCAGCGGATAACGCCGAGAATTATCGACTACTGCAAACTGTGAATTACCGACATTAAGGCCAAGAAGCACCGTACTTCAAAGAGCTCGCACCCGAGGCTCTCTGCAGAGCCGGGTGCGGTGCTGCAGCTCCAGCCATCCAAGGAACAGCGATGCTCGAGGCCTTTTCCGGGATGAGGCTGTGAGCACTCCAAGTGCCCTATATCCATCCATGCAACAATCCCTGCCCTGCCCGAACCTCCGCGGCAGTGCCCTGCTCCCCAGCCCACCGCAGGGCGGCCGATCGGCAAGACAAGGCGGATTTTCTCGCATTATTCGGAAAAACGCAGAAAATGGGTCACGGCTTTCGTTCCCGGCGGCACCTCGGCCTGCCTTGAGGCGAGCTGCCAGAGCGGGGAGGTCACGGTACGAAGGGCGATGCTACGGGAGCCCCCGCGACGCCAGGGCTGGGGGGTCGCGACAGGAGCGGCGATGCTACCGGAGCCCCCCGCGGGGCCGGCGGACACCGGCTCTCACCTGGACGAAGGCGATGGGGGTGGTGGTGCCCTCGATGTCCAGCAGGATGGCGCGCACCTCCGCCGGCACCGGCAGCACGCCCATGGCAGCGGCGGCCGCGGCGGCACGTGGGGCGCACCGGGGACGCGCGGCGGCGGCGGGGAGGCCCGGCCCGCGCGATGGCGGCCGCTGGGCGGCTGCTGCAGCCCCGCCGCGAGCCGCTGGGGGCGCTGCGGCGCCGGGCGGGAGGGCGGCGCTGATTGGCTGCCGGCGCGGCTATATAAAAGAGGAGCAGGCGGTGCCCGGATCTCTTCCGCCGCCATTTTCTGCCGGGCGCAGGTCTCTGCTGTCTCCGCCGCTCGCACGAGCACCCCCCCCCCCCCCCCCGGGCCCCCCCCCCCCCCCGCCCTCGCCCCGCCATGGAGGACGCGACCGAGATGAGCGGCGGCCAGGAGGAGTTCGCCGAGGGCTCCAAGATCAACGCGAGCAAGAACCAGCAGGACGACGGGTAGGGCCGGGGACGTGGTGGGGGGAGGTGTGGGGGAGTCCCGCGTCCATCTCCGCGCCCGCTCCGGGGCTCGGGGGGGGCGGCTCGGTGTCTGGGCGCAGCGCGGCCTTCCCTTCCCGCAGCACGGCCGCGCCCGCCTTTGTGTCCCGGGCGGGTGACCCAGTTTCCGCGGGGCGGGGACACGGACGGGGGGGCCGAGCAGGGCCGTGACGTCACCGGCAGCCGGTGGGGGCGCGGGGGGGCTCTCCCGGCGCTCCCTCACCCGTATCCGCACGCGTTTCCTGCCCTCCAGGAAAATGTTCATCGGAGGCCTCAGCTGGGACACCAGCAAGAAGGACCTGACGGAGTATCTCTCGCGGTTTGGCGAGGTTGTGGATTGCACGATCAAAACAGACCCGGTCACTGGAAGGTCGAGGGGGTTTGGGTTCGTGCTCTTCAAGGATGCTGCCAGCGTGGAGAAGGTGGGTGCTTTGCCTGCGGAGCCATGGCACGGAGCCAGCTTGTGTAGCTGCAGCGATCTGAGAATTTGTTCCTTTGTTCCCTCTTTAGGTGTTGGAACTGAAGGAACACAAACTGGATGGCAAGTTAATAGATCCTAAAAGGGCAAAAGCTCTGAAAGGGAAGGAGCCACCCAAAAAAGTGTTTGTTGGTGGGCTGAGTCCAGATACATCTGAAGAACAGATTAAGGAGTACTTTGGTGCTTTTGGCGAGGTATAGTATATTGGCATATAAGAACACCTCTAATTCTCAAGTGTAGTCTTGCCTCTCTCTTAAGAAAGAATTTGTGAGGAGGGGAGTTGGCCAAAACTAGATCTAACTAGATCTTTAGTCTGTATGTTAATGATTTCATAAAGTTGTAATGGTCTGCTTTATAGCTGCCAGAAGTAGTCAATGTAGATTCTGCACTGCCAGATGGTTCTGGTGGCATAAAGAGCTGCTTACAGATTTCACTCATTGTTTATATTCATTTTGATTTCAGATTGAAAACATTGAACTTCCCATGGACACAAAGACGAATGAAAGGAGGGGCTTCTGTTTTATCACATACACAGATGAAGAGCCAGTAAAGAAGTTACTAGAGAGCAGATACCACCAGATTGGTTCAGGCAAGGTGGGAAAACTCTTATTCTTAGCATGTGAAATCTATCTCTAGGTTTCTCTGAAAGCAACTCACAAAATGCTCTTGAAATTCTTAGTAAATGAAAGGCTTTCTGTCCTTACAGTGTGAAATCAAAGTAGCACAGCCCAAAGAGGTGTACAGGCAGCAGCAGCAGCAGCAGAAAGGAGGGAAAAGCAATTCTTCTGGTGGACGTGGAGGCGGAAGGGGGCGTGGACGGGGTGAGTATTTTCAGTGGTTCTGTTTATTTAAGTACTTACCAAACACTCAGGTGTTTGTAGATATTCTAGGTTGCAGGCTGTGTGCAGATCTCATGTTTAAATCAAATGTGTAAAGTAGCCCGTCAGTAAGTGGTGGTTGAAGCTGGAGAACCTCCTCTTGCTCTGCTTGCATTCAAGTGATGAAGGTGAAAGGTGGATGTAGGGTGCTTTTGTACACCCTTAGTGGGCAGTGCAGCCAGCACAGTTACACTTTCACTTGAAAGGGATACACTTAATTGGCCATGGGCGAGAAACCAGGAGCTGTTTGCTAACGAGTGGGCTGGTCACTGCTGCACCTTCAAATGGATCAGAAGGAATCAGCTGATATGTTACAGGTCAAGCAGACACAACTCACACCACGCAGCAAGGCTTGTCCTGTGGTGTCACTTGGTGCTCAGGCAATTACTGATTATTCTCCTATCCAAAAAATTAGATGAAGGGGCACAGGAGAGGAGTGAAGTAAGTTTTGAAACTTACAGTTGCTGTGCTTGGTTTCAGGTCAGGGACAAAACTGGAACCAAGGATTTAATAATTACTATGATCAAGGCTATGGGAATTACAATAGCGCTTACAGTGATCAGAGCTACAGTGGCTATGGAGGCTACGACTACTCTGGGTACAACTATCCCAACTATGGATATGGGCCGGGATACACGGATTACAGTGGTAAGTGGTTTTGCCCTCATTCCCGATAACAAGAGCAGTATTGCTCTCAGTCAGCCCATGGCTCTAAAGATGAGATCCCTTGGTGTGCTGCTGTGTGTGAAGTCTCCCTCTGAGGCTGGTGTTAACGCTTGTGGGTTCTGTTTTTCCCCACATGCTACCTCCAGGCCAACAGAGCACGTATGGGAAGGCGTCCCGTGGCGGCGGCAACCACCAAAACAACTACCAGCCCTACTAAGGCAGTACCTAGTGCCTGACAAACAGGTGTGTACAGGAGCGCAAGCTCCACTCCGACTATGTCTAATCTAATTTAAAGATCAATAGACAAACGAAGAGTAAAAACTTGCCTAGCATGACTTTTCCTTTAATTAAGCTTTCGTTAACTTAAAAAATACTTTTTTTTTTAAAACCAGCTTTGCCTACGTGTCTATAGATCTTTAACTTTGTAAAAGCGTGACTTTATCTTCTTTAGTACTTCAGAAAAACATAAGAGTTTTTCTGGTTTGCGTTGTGTACCAGGTGGTCTAGAGGAATAATTAAACTTATTAGAAGTATTAACAGGTAAAGTACTGAAATGGGTACAACTTAAGGAAAACAAGAATGTTGTCTTCTAACTCTGACATTATACCTTGTTTGTACCCGCCAGCGGGAACTTCATTGCAGGCCGTGTGTCACCCTGACCACGTCTATCTCTGGGGTCGCACGTTGCAGGCAGAGCGCAAGGCATACACCAGAAAACGCTGTCCTGTGGTATGGTCTCTTCCAACTTCATGTACCAGCGTAAAGATTAAAGTGGAAAACTTCAGACTTTGGCTTCTTTTTTTAATCTTTTTTGGAGATTAAGTGTCTTTAACTTAAATGGTTTTTTACAGGAGTTAAAGTACATAAATGCCTTTACAGCTTAATCATTTGGTCTTCTGTTTAGTGTTGTATTTCAATTGTGGAACCTCATTTTAAATGTGCATTCTTTAAGATTTTAATGCTTGCTTTTTTCTTTTTATAGCTAATAGTGAAATCTGCAAACCAAAACGAACTTTTAAATCTGGATAAACATTAAAGATCATATGCATATGGACTGTCTGAACTAAAGTGACCTGACTTGTGTTGCACATAAGTCGTTTAGTTGTATAAACAAATAATAAGCCTTTTGGCAGTGTTTCCAATGGAAAAGAAAGTGATCCAGTGCCTGCTTACTTGTCTAAATTGGATGGTTGTTGTTTCAGAGCAGCCTCCTAGTTGGGCTGAATATTTGGGAAAGTAAGTTACTGATGGGTAACTAAACAAACCTCTTGTGTTACCTTAATAAATATGCATATGATCTTTAACAGTGAAGAAAGGAATATATAGAAGACTTAAAGCAGTTCATGAAAATGGACCTTTTAACAATCCTGTAGTAACTGTCACAGATCTGACATGCATTTTGTCTTCATTTTTTAGGTAGAGATACTGCAACAAAAAGCCATCTTGCAACGCATCGTGAGTGAATGGAGGGTGGTCTTCGGTGAGAGGAAATGACTATTTTGTAAAAGACTTTTAGTGTATGACACAACTGTGTCCAACTGTACATAGCGGCCGACTAGTTTTCTTTTATGGTTTTTACTTTCTTTTTGCCATTCATGTTACGACACAATGTGGACTTGTGTTTATACAAACTTTATTTGTATAATTTCATGTTAAAAGATTCTCTAATAAATGCTTACTTAAGTGAGTGTGGAGTCTTGCTGTCACCTTCAAGTGGTGTAACTATAGTTTTACTTGGATAGAAGGACAGGTATCTCTCTGGAGATCAAGGTTACTGTGAGAACAGGTCCATACACCCCCTTCTTCCTCCTGATCTGTCCTGAGAGCACCAGAGTGCTTGGAATTAGCATCACTGTGGAAGATGGCAGAGTCGTGTCCTGCCCTCCACAGCATCGATGAGAGTGGTCTGTGGCACAACGCTGCCAGTTTTGCACATCTCGGGAGGGATCTAGAACTATAGCAGCACCTTTTCGATGCTGATGGCACTGCTTGAGGAGTTGGAGCTTTTCAAAGCTTCTCAAGCACTTAAAACTTCCAAGTATTCTAGAATGTAGCTTAATTACTTTCCCACACCACTTCTATTCCAATTCCAAGTAGGCGTTCAGAAGTTCTTGAACTTTAGGATCAGCAACTATTTTCTGTACAACTTGGTACAAGTTAGGTGCTGTACTGGATGCTTCTCACCTGGCTCAGAAAACAGGTTTCCCATTTAGTGCACACTAGCGAGCACCAACAAAAAGCCTGCGTGCCTGATTGCTGGAGAAGGAACACTGCATCAATCCAGCATGTGTCCAATTAGGAGAGGGGTTGGGATGGGTAAAGGAGCGTGTGTTTTGTCTGAGGCAAAAGGATTGTGGCAGTCTGCCTGAAGATTTGATGTTTCCCAGCACAACTACCTAGTCAAGCATAAAAATAAACCTTGCTTGTTAAAACTCACTGATGTCACTGACTACAAACAAGAATCAGCAAGAAGCCACAGCAGTGTGTGAGTTCATACACTGCATTTGTGAGTGCAGCTGGATCCACAGCCCTCCACAGCACACGAGGGGCTGAGGGAGACCTGTGCCACAAGAACATGGTTTCATTACTCCAGTGGTTTGTTAATACACAAAACCCTGCTAAGAGCCAAGTTTTACTTCAATCTGCGATCCTCCCACTCGGCACTAGTGAAGTGCAGCTGGAGTACCATGTGCAGGTCTGGGCTCCTCAGCACAGGAAAGGCAAGGGGCTCCAGGGAAGGGCCACAAAGACGATGGGGGGGCTGGAGCATCTCCTGAGGAGAGGCTGTGGGAGCTGGGCCTGTTTAGTTTGGAGAAGACTGAAGGGATCTCACCATGCACAGCAATATCTCAAAGGCAGGTGCCAAGAGGATAGTGCCTGACACTTTTCAGTGCTGCCCAGTGACAGGACAAGGAGCAACGACCACAAACCCAAACACAAGCTCCACTTCACCACGAGGAAGGACTTCTTGCGTGGAGGGCGGCAGAGCACTGGAACAGGGAGGTTGAGTCTCCCTCTCTGGAGCCATTCCAAACCCACCCCGACCTGTTCCTGTGGCCCTGCCTTGGGCGGGGGGTTCAACTGTACTCTCTCCAGAGGCCCAGTCCAGCCCTATCGATTCCGATTGTCCATGTGGGCCCCCCGGGCTCCGGCGGCTCCCGGGGCCGTGCCGAGCTCCCCCCGCGCTCCCTCACGGCTCCCCGGGGGCGGTGTCACGTGTCCCGCCCGCCGCGCTCCTTCCGGCCGCCATTTTAGGTTGGGTCGGTGGCGGCGCCATTAAAAACAGGGAGCAAGAGGAGGAGGGATCGGCGGGATCGGCGCGCTCGGCCGGGGCCGCCAGCGGGGCCGGGGCCTCGGCGGGGAGGCGGCAGCACCGGGGGTGGCCGGTGCGGGGCGGCGGCGGCGCCATGTCGGATCAGCAGTTCGCTCTAGACTCGGCGGCGGTAGCGGCTGGCGCCGGGGGCAGCGCGGCGGAGCCGGCGGAGCAGCCTGAGGGGCAGGCGGGGGCGGGGAGCACCGATGGGGGAGGCGGCGGCGGCGGCGGGGTCGAGTCGGAGGGAGCCAAGATCGACGCCAGCAAGAACGAGGAGGACGAGGGGTGAGCGGCGGGGGCGGGTTGTGTGTCCCGGGCGGGGCCCGGCGCCCCCGGCCCCGGCCGCTGCCCTGTTTGTTTACTTGGCGCCTCGGCGACGTCACGGGCCGAGCGGCGGGGGCGGTGTCTGGTCCCGCGATGTACAGACGGTGTGATGTGCCTCAAACTAGAGGCCCCTTTTACTTATTTTTCGTTTTAACGACACCTTTTCTACGAGTTAAAGTGCGGTGCGTGCGTGAAGACAGTAACTCGGTGTAGCCGAATGCTCTGGTTGCAGTCGCAGCATTGCCCTGTGCTGCTAACATTACTGTGTGTTAGCTGAGTGCCAGAGGCGTCAGCTACCGGGACTTCTTCCCAGCCTAAAACATGCCCCTGCTTCTCACGGAACTTGCTTCGAGGGGCTTGTGTGAGGTGGTGTCCGAACTTGAGAAGTAGGAGTAGAAAAGGCAGGAAGCTAAGCCGGGGGAGGTTCAGGTTATGCATCAGGAAAAGGTTTTTCACCTAGAGGGTGGTTGGGCAATAGAACAGGGAAGTGGTTACAGCACCAAGTCTGACAGAGTTCAAGAAGCACTTGGGAAATGTTCTCAGGCACATGGTGTGACTCTTGGGGTGTTCTGTGCAGGGCTGGGACTTGGACTTGATGATTCTGATAGGTCCCTTCCAACTCAGCATGTTCTATTACTTTGTTTTATGGCGAGTAAAGACAGCTTTTAATCTTTATAGGGTCTCTGCCTGGGGCAGTGTCCCTTTTCTATTGCCGGTGAAATTTATGTGTAATAAATCCAGTGACAGGACAGGCTGTTGCGCTCTGCTGTCTCCTGTCGGGCCGTGAAACTCGAGCTGCAGGTCTGTTTTTGGTCAAGGCAGAAAATAAACTGGATAAAGGAGTGCTAACTACTGTGTCCTGCAGATACCTGCTGTAAAACCTTCCTGTCTTCATCTTTCAGTAATAACCTGGGATGTTGCTGAGAGAGATGTTGTTAATCTGGGATCATGCAGAGAGAGAGAGCAGGAACCCTTTTTTGAGTATTTTGCTGGGATTAGCAGAAATTAAAATGGTTTTGTTACTTTTCAGCTGTTCTTAACACCTTCAAATGCCTTTGGAGTGTGCATGTTTGTTTTACTTAGTACCCTTGAATACACACCAATTAAAGGGTTTTCATGTGCAAACTCAGGTTCTTTTGAGGCAAGAGAGTTTAGAAGAAGTTGTCTCTAAGCCGTGCAGTGATACTGGGCAGTGACCACATGTATCACACATTGACTTGTAGTCTGGTTCAGTCTTTTAGACCTGTCACCTCTTGTCTTGACAACACTTCTGGTAGTAAAGGGAGAAAAGCCGATCTGTGATACCTTGTTTAGCTAAGTCTTAGGTTTGAAAGCTTTCCCCAGCACACTTCTGTTAACTTATTTTGGGAAACTATATGTGCTGATGTGGCTTAGACCAGCCAGACTGTGGGCTAGGAAATGTATGTATTTTACAAGCTTTTGGCAGCGCTGTGCCACTGCTCCTGAATTGTGCTCATGTTTGTGGTGTGGCCCTGACCTGAGCTCAGTTTCCCTTGGAGCAGTAGTTGATGTAGGGGCAGACTGAAGCAGCTGTGCTTTGCTGCTCTGTGGCTGGGCTCAAAGGTGCAGTTCCTGCGTGGAGAGATGAAAAACCTTCCAAGGCTGTTGGTTTCAAGCTCACGTTCTTGGTCTGCCTGTCCTTAGGAATACAAAGCAGGGTCTGTATGTTAATGTGGAGACAGGTGGTTTGGGTAGCAAGTGTCAGTTCAGTAGTGACTGCTAGGGCATCACTACCCCCCATGTGTCGGAAACACGATGCTGCAGCCTCTGTGTCTTCTGTTTGGCTGCTTGAAAAGCCCTCCACAGAACAGCAAACAAGCTAAGGACCTTAATGATGGGTGAGCAAAGGGCAGAAAGCTCCTTTGATTTACTGCTTGTACTGGTGTGAGGCTGCTGGTTTACCAGGGTGGGCCATTTCTTCCAGGAGGACACTAAGAAGTCACAGCTGATAGAAAGGTACTTTCTGTTGGTGCTTTGTTGAAGAGAGATCTGGAACTAATTGGAAAAGTGGATAAAGGGATGGGGAGTTGGTGCTCCTTCTTTACAGATTTGGAGACTTGTTATAAAAACATCTGAAGCTCCTGAAGATGTTATAAAAACATCTGAGGCTCTGAACCCCTCATCTGTATGGATTTTGTCAGAAACTGAATGCTCTTGTTAATTCTCTGCAGGCACAGTTAAGTCAACAGAAGTAGTTCAAAGGAGCAGCTTTTGATTCCAGAGAGTTTGAGTTGTGGAGGTACAATGCTCTTTTACGTGATTGGCAGGAATATTTGTGCGTGGGAAGTGGAAGGGTTGGAAACATGATACAGTGGTTTTTCAGGTTTTCTGATAACTGTGTCTGATTGTGAAATAAGTTGGAACCGTGAAAATGGGCAAAGCTTTGTAGAAAGTGCTTTTATAGGTCATAATGGATCATATTTTTTGGTTAGAGCTCATGGTAAAATCTTTATCAGTATTAGAAGAGATCATCTCAAATCAAATCCTCTTTTGAATGGGTTCCTAAGCCCTGTGCCTAATAACCTGGAAATTTCATTTGTGTGTATACTGGCTTGATTTTTCATCTTTTAAAATTATTTTTTTTTTATGCCTTACTAACATGGTGGGATGGTCATGATTTGATTCTAAGCTTCCAGTGTGCTTTTGAAAATACAGGTTATGAATTATGTGCTGTACACATCTGCCCAGCAACACTGGTGCTGTAGAAATATTGGAAAGACATTCTCTTGATGTTAATGGATTATGCCAGGTGTTTTTATAAAGTTTTCATGGGGAAAGAACTTCTGAGCATCCAATACTTTGTTTTTTCATAACTGCTTTCTGGGGAAGGGAACTTGATTAAACTTATTTATTTTAGTTTATTAATTTGGGCATATGTCCAGTTCAGACTGGTGGATAAATGCTTCTGTTTTAACCACACTTTGTTACAAATCTAATCTGCCTACATGTATTTCGGTTGTGTGGAGGCTCCACAGATAACTGGATGGAATTAAACGTCTGATGGGGATGTAAAGAAGTAGTAAAATATCTTTTTGTCACTACTACTAGTGGTTTCTTGGGACAGCAGAGCAAGCAGCTGCAGGAGAAGACAGTGCAAAATGTTTGTGTATTGGAAGTCTTTATCGGTCCTGGCCAGACTCGCTTAAGCAAGTTGTCAAAAAGTGCAGGCCTGTGTGTGTAGTGACATGACTGATAAAAGCATGAGGGTATTGAGCTCATAAAGCTTGGCAGTGCAGGATTTTGGGTAACACACATTTACAGATTGACCAACTTGTCTTAACAGGAAAATGTTCATTGGTGGCCTTAGCTGGGACACAACGAAGAAGGATCTGAAGGACTACTTCTCCAAGTTCGGTGAAGTTGTAGACTGCACTCTGAAGTTGGACCCCATCACTGGGAGATCGAGAGGCTTCGGCTTTGTACTCTTCAAAGAGTCTGAGAGTGTGGATAAGGTAGGATTAAAGTAATGAAACAAGTTCAAATTCAGGTATCAGAGATAAAGCACTCCCTAGGATGACTGTAGGCGTTCTTACATCTTCTGGTAAAGATGATTCAGGGGTGCAGCATGTTTAATGTGCTTGTTGAAAATGCTTTCTTTTATGAACTGTCTTACTCATGTTCCTGTGTCCAGGACCAGCAGTGATTCCTGAGGTATGGATTTGGGCACTTAGAGGTTCTTCAAGTCATTGGACTTGGGCACTTGAACAATAGAGTCTGTAAATGTCTGCTGCCTGCTGCTGTGAAAGCAGGATTTGCAAAGATTTTCTGTTCTTTGCATTCCAGAGCTGTACCATGAATCCCTAGAGGACAGCCAATAGCTTTGATATATTTAAGCTCTATCCAAGCAAAAATTACTTGTTAACTTTTCTAAAATGCTGTGGATACAGCACACAGAAAAGTTCTCACCCTCATGGCCTTTGTGATACTTAAAGTACAGATTTTTTACTTCATAAGGTTTGAGGATGAGAAGAGTACTTTTTGAGAGATGTTACACTCTTGCTTCTGCTGGGTAATAAGTGGTTCCAGATGTTAGAACTGTCTGTGTCAGTGGATAGTGATCAAAAATCACAGAATTTTGTTTTTGTGCAACAAACTATTGGTGTGATCCACGTACTGAAATTGAAGCAATTTTAGCCTTACTCAAAACAGTGAAACATTTAGCTTGATCTGTGTAAAACTGTGTTTTAATTATCCTCAGGTCATGGACCAGAAAGAGCACAAGCTGAATGGAAAGGTCATTGATCCAAAAAGAGCTAAAGCCATGAAAACAAAAGAACCCGTTAAAAAGATTTTTGTTGGGGGCTTATCTCCAGACACACCTGAGGAGAAAATACGGGAATATTTTGGAGGTTTTGGTGAGGTATGTAGTGAAACAAAGTGCTTTTACTTGTGGAACCTGTTCTGTCTTCACAAATTTATTAATAGAAAGCATCCCCCACATGCAGACTGCGTGGATGCTAATGTAAGCTTTCTGGCCATTGTAGTTCCATGTGTGCTAGTGGTCAGAATGTTGATGTTTCAACTCAGAGTTACAGGCTCTGAGTTGGTGATGGAAGGGGAAGGGATAAGTCAGAGAGGGAGGCAGGGTGCTTTGGTCAGTTGCATCGGATGCTCTTCAGCCACTCCAGCTCATCTCCTATAGCACAGATTGAGACAGTTTTGCCTAAATTCTGTACAACTGTGTAGTCTCTGTCCCCAGTTTTTGGTGGTGCAGATGAGGTAAGTATCTCTGAAGTTTTTAAAAGCTGGTCTTGAATGAACTTGCTACAGCTGCTGCTCCCCTATTGGTATCAGATGGTGCCAGCTTCAGGTCATAACTCTGTTCAGGCAGTTTGGTTGCTAAATATGTGCCCTGTTCCAAACTTACAGACAGTTCACTCTAGACTAAAGACTTCAACTACTGTTTGCCTAGGAAGCCCCATGTCCTACAGAGAACTTTGACTCTGTATTTATAGTCAGGTCACATTGTCATATTCAAATCCAAATAATTTCAGTTAGCAGGAATGACCTGTTAGAGGGATTTTGCAGTGACATGAATGTCAGGATAAAAGGTAAAATCATTGTCTTCCACCAGGTTGAATCCATAGAGCTCCCCATGGACAACAAAACTAACAAGAGGCGTGGATTTTGCTTCATTACTTTCAAGGAAGAGGACCCAGTGAAGAAAATAATGGAAAAGAAATACCACAATGTTGGGCTTAGTAAAGTAGGTGGATTCTTTTTCCTAGAGAAACTGAACCATGACAGTAGATAGAATTACATTGCCAGTTGCATCTGTTTGGGGATAATAGTCTGCCAATACCTGTAAGCATTATTTTTCACATGTAGGCATTGGGCCTGTGAAGTATTTATGTAGGTGACTGTTACCTTAATTTCTGAGCTGAGAGGGTTTCAGGTGAGGTTTTGTACTGCACCCCCATGGGGAGAGGGCTGGGCCCCAGCACACTTTCCATCGTGCAGCTCCCACATTCACCGGCAGTGTGGGCAGAGTGCTGTTTCCCTGATCTGCCCTATGAGGCAGCACCAGCTTTTCTTGGTAGCTGGATCTTTGTGTATGCGTTTGTTGTTATCAGCAAATGTCAGTTTGTCTTAGAGAGCTTCCAAAACTGAAATTAAATGGGAAGTTAGCCTTCCATGTTAGAAGTTGCATTCCTTTCAGAAACCTGGTTGAATGTCAACCTGGTAGCATATACTCAAATTGTAGCTGGACTGGTACTTGCACAAGTATGTGGTGGAAATCTTCAGAACAGAGTTGAGTTTATCATGTTGGCCAAACTCAGGTTTGATTTCACTTTTCCCAAATGAATAGGCCTCAGAGGTTTAGTTCAAAGGGAAAGCAGAAAGGCGTACAAAGAAACAAGCATTCTTTTTAGAATGGGTTCTACTGTGTCTCACAACTGTTCTCAAATTAGACAGTGTATGCTGTCCATTTTTTTTTCAGGGAGGCCACCAGGGTGACCAAATCCAGTTTTCTGCTTAGTGTTCTGTAAGTTTGATGTTTAGGGGTTATCTTTGCTGATTGGATCTCACTCTTAACTTTCCCTTTCCAGTGTGAAATAAAAGTAGCCATGTCAAAGGAACAGTACCAGCAGCAGCAGCAGTGGGGGAGTCGGGGAGGATTTGTTGGAAGAGCTCGAGGGAGAGGTGGAGGTAAGTTTGTACTGCTGCAATGTTGGAAGGTGAGGGACTAGCCTGAATGAAAATAAGTCTGAGCTTTGTGTTGCAGGCCCCAGTCAAAGCTGGAACCAGGGATACAGCAACTACTGGAATCAGGGGTATGGGAACTATGGTTACAACAGCCAAGGTTATGGAGGTTATGGAGGATATGACTACACTGGTTACAACAACTACTATGGATACGGCGACTACAGCAGTAAGTACTGAACT